GAGAGAGAGAGAGAGAGAGGGAGAGAGGGAGAGAGAGAGAGAGAGAGGGAGAGAGATAGAGGGATTAAGGAATAATCACACTAGCTATATCTGCATCACTAGAAAGAATTCAAATGTTGCAGGGAGAACCAGGCTTGAGCTTCACCTCCACCTTCTTCATTACCTCAAAAACCTCTGTTAAAATCTGCTCAAATCTTTCCAAGAATAACATCCATTGTTCCTCATTCTTGTCCTTGAAAGATATCATCTTGCTCCTCTCAACCCCAGCGCCATGGCAGTTCAGATCCAAAGGCTTCTCGCACAACTCCTGATATTCTTTCACGTCATCTTCTTCTCCGAGCTCGCTTTCGGCTCCAATGGATTCCTCTGCTTTCGTGCAAAGAGACTCCAGGAAACTCTCTCCTTCCTCCATCCTGCAGAACTCTCTGGTCATCATGCCGCCAATCTCGGACAGGCAGAGGCCGAAATCCACCGCCTTTTTTAAGAAGATGGTGCAGAGTATAAGAATTCTGATGGCCGGTTCACGAATCGACGGCAGCTCAGCTCGGAGAAGCTCGGCGTCTTTAAAAGGATCGATTTTTGAAACGTACTGTATTTCCTCACCGGAGAATGGCACGGCGGCTTGCGGCCAGTGAAGCCATTCAAAATAAGGGTCTTCGAGCAGCTCCGGCAAGCAGAGGCCATGATCGATGGGCACGAGCTCGGTGGCGAGCTCTGCTCCATCAAAGGTGCGATTTTTATCGACGCTCTGTTTCTGGACGAGAAGATTTCCGGCATGGCGATCGGTGTTAAGCAACCTGATGTCGAGAATACCGATCCGGTGAACGGAGGCGACGGAGAATCTAGACGGTCCGAGATCTCCGGCGTCGAATTCGTGAGGAACAAAGCGTTGGATGGAGGCGAGGAGATTTGTCGGAGGGTGGGAGATTTGAATAAGGGCTGTTGGGGGAACGCCGGCGAAGGCCGCGTGGTCGAGGAGGTAAGCTGCGGCCTCACGGACGCCGGTCTCGCCTGCATTAAAGGGTTTAACGACAGCGAGACAGTCTCCGGAACGGTTGCGGAGGAAGAGGGCGCCGCCGAGGCCAGCGAGGGCAGGAATGGGGGGAGCGCCGGAGGAGATGGTAGCGGAAACCTCTTCAACGAGGGATTGGAGAGCGGCGCTGGTGCGTCCGGCCATGAGATTGAGAATGGGGGATTGGGGATGGGGGCGGTGGGAGGAGGAGTGGGGGAAGGAGAGGAGGCGGCGGCGACGGATGAGAGGGGAGGGTTTCAGAGAGGGATTGTGGGATGGGGGGAAATGGTGGTGGACAACGGCAACCGCCATGAGAGGAGCTCTGTTGCTATCGGTGGATCTGGTTGGCATTCATGTTAAGCTCTCGCCTTTCGATTCCTCCCTGCTTGTTTCTATGCCATTTTGACGGAAAGGAGCTTCCTTTTTTTTTTTTTGCTCTGATGAAATCTCTCTGCTTCTCTGTTAATGGCGGAGGAAGATGCGTGGTTTAATGGGAAAGAGAGAGGTGGGCCCTATCCGCCGGAGCAGGGGTTCCGGAGTGCGGAAGGGGGTCAGGTTTGTTGCTATTCTCACGCAAATTTGCTATAATGATCGTATAATTTATGGTTTGTGGCAGCGTTCCGATTGTTGTTAGGGCGTAGGATTAGCCGTTAATTTATTTTAATTTTGTTTAGTTTGATAAAATAAGAAATATTAAAATTTTAAAAAATAACTATAAATTATTAAAAATTATATAAAAATTAAAAATTATATTTTATATTAAGTAAATTTTTATCATTTATCTCATAAATAATATATATTCACTTTATTTATTATTTTATTATAATATTAATTTGAATTAATATTACTTTCTTTTTTGAAAAAAATATTCGAATTAATATGTTGAATAAAACTAAGTTTGGCTAATTTATATGACTTTGAAATGAAATATTTCGATCAAATAATCATTTATTGGGATATAATTTTATTTATTAGATATGCTTTAAAATGTGTGTTATACAAAATTTTATAAATGTATTGAATGGTGGATTAGGATGGCTTAGGTGGATCCTTATCACCTTTGGATATATAGTAAATCACTTAATAATAGTAAATTTGAAATCCTTAATTTAAATAAATAATTAGAATTTAATACCAATACTATTTTAAGATTTATTGTCAATAAAATGTTTTCTTAATTGGCCTAATTACTATACTTTAATAAGATAAAAAATATTAAAATTATATTAATCAATTAAAAATATATAATTTTTATTTCTATTTATTAATAATAACATTTAATTTTTTTGTTAAAGTTTTGTGGAACTACTTCAAAACTAATAAGATCACTTTGTTTTTTATTTATTATTTTTTTGTTTTATTATCTTTTTATATTTTTCATATGTTATAACAAAATTATTTATTTTTAAAAACCGTTAAAATCATCCTTAAGTTGGTTTTGAGTTTAAAAAATAAAAAAGAAACCATGAAGAAAATTAACAAGCAAATATAATTTTAAAATAATAATAATAATAACAAATATATTTCTAAACAAAATTAAGTTTTATAGAATTTTTCATATTTTATAACATATTACAAGTATCGGTAAACATAACAACACGAGGGAGAGAGAGAGAGAGAGAGAGAGAGAGAGAGAGAGAGAGAGAGAGAGAGAGAGAGAGAGAGAGAGAGAGAGAGAGAGAGAGAGAGAGAGAGAGAGAGAGAGAGAGAGAGAGAGAGAGAGAGAGAGAGAGTATTTAGGCTAATTATTGTCGTGAAATTGAGAAAAAGTCTTTTCATTCATTTTTTTGCTTCTTATTTATAGAGAATTACTTATACATTTACAAAAAGAAAGGAACGGTTAAGAAAACTGTCCTTAATATGATTAATTATGTTGATTTTTTACTAAATTTGTATGACAAATTGAGTTTGAAAATGGCGGTAACCAGCCGGTCGACTCGCTTGGGTTCGACTGATCGAGGCGATTGGTCGAACGACGATTGAATCCGCTGAAGTAAAAACCGATCGGTAGACTGGTTGCGATCGGACGCTCTTGTAAGGAGCCTCTAAGAGGCAAAGGCTGCAGGGGTGCTCCATCGATTGAGTCTATCGTCACAGTATCTCGGTTGACTTCAACCGGGCGGTCGGTCGTTGAATGAATGGTTTGGGTCATGCTCTTTTGGTCCGACGCCTCGATCACCCGTGCCCTATCCTGGGTCGTTGAAATACTTTGAGACTCGTGTCGGCAACTCTAATGTATACATATTAGTTCCCCCAAATTTTCTGCTTCTTTAAAGTGATAGTTAAGATAATGACATGAAAGCTATTTAATAATTACCGACGCTAAAATCAAGGAAATCAACTTGATAACTAACTTTTCTTTGAATTTTGTGTTCAGTGTGCTCTATAAATAGAGCCACATGTCTGATATGAAATTTGTTGCAATCATCTTTCCCAACTAACCAAGCTGAATCATGTTTGATGGTTCAAGTCTGGTCACTGTGGATCCCATAATTCTCGCCAAGGCGGGCTATAATTTATGCAAAGAAGAACGAGATTAAGCAAGGGAAACGGTCAAGGCTCGAACCTTCGTCAGCTGATCAAGTCGACTCGTCTGGGGATCCTGAGGGACGAATGTCGAAAGTCCCTCGCCAGGAGGTCTTGACCCCCGAGTCTAGCATGGGTGTAGTGGCACGCACCAAGTGCTGCAAAACATGGGCTACTCACACAAATATACGTGGCATATCAGTAGTACCGTTATTTGAGTTCGGTTATCGATCTCACATGGAACAAGACGAACTCTAACAGGAAAAAGTTCTAGCCTACAGTTGTTAGTCATAGCCTGAAATTTTAGTTTGATTTAATTCCAAAGCAATCCTAAATTCATAAAAAAGAAGTTGAAGGATTCAAGTACTTAAAGATTCTCCCTTAAATTTTAGTTTGAACTTTTCTCTTCTTTACAATATTGAGCAGATGAAATATAAGCACTTTTCGCTCAGAACCTCTCACATCTCCCATCTTTTGTTGTTGACGATTTGCCAGAATTTTATTCACTGCCCGAAGAGAAGAAAAAAACTAGAATTGAAGTGAAACATAAGCGAAAAATAGCAACAACCCTCTCTCACTTCGTCTCCTTGGTTTTATATTAGCTCCCCAACGATTGACATGATCTCCCATGATCTGAAAGTTTGAACTGTTCCAACTGCTGATTTCAAGCGCCAAGCTCTCAGTTTGGAACTGATCATCGGGCTGGCGTCATGTCACCATGCTCTCATGTTATGGCTTGATTCTGAGCAGGTTCTGGAGCCTAGGCACCCAGTAGCTGAATTTTTCTCCAATCTTCATTTAGTTTTATTTTGATTCTTGTTATCCATTCCTTGTTGCAACCTACAAAATCAACACAAAAAACCTTCCTCCAAAGTGCAGTTTCATCAATTAAATTATATAAATGCAAATAAAATTAATTGTCAAATTATCAACATATCAAAATGCCCCAAACTTAAGGGTTACCTGTCCACAAGTAACAATAAATCTTAAATGTTTGATTTTGTTGAGCCTAATAGGAGTGGGCTTTCATAAAGGACTACATACAATCAACCTTCTAAAGATACATAGTTGATGATCACAATTTCTCTATTGAATTATTCTAACACATGTGCTTTAAGAAGCTTTGAACTCTTCAAATGTTATATATTATCATATTCATTTCAAGGGAGTTAATAAACGTTAAACTAATACAAATTAGATGTCAAATTTTAAGAATAAAGTGTGATAATTCAAAATATTTAAACTGAATAAAAATAAATATTGTTAAAATAAACAATGTTATGGAGTTTTGAATTTAAAAGAAATACTAACAAAATCAATTTTTGTCTAGATTAGTTTTTTAATGATTTTGAATTATACTATAATTTCCCCAAATTAAAGTACTCCAACGTTCACTTTCTATTCAAGATTTACCAAATATGAATCATTAACATAAAAATAAAACATTAACATAAAATTAAAATTAGATGGAGACTATATTCTTATGAAGATACACATCTATGTTTGTACACATCAACACATTCATTTAATTAAAAGAGAAATAAAAATACAAAAATCTTACAAATAATAGATTACAACAAACTATAGAAAAGAACTTATCTTTCTCTTCTTTACAATATTGAGCAGATGAAATATAAGCACTTTTCGCTCAGAACCTCTCACATCTCCCATCTTTTGCTGTTCACGATTTGCTAGAATTTTATTCAGTGCCCAGGGAGAAGAAAAACTAGAATTGAAGTGTAACAAAAGCGGAAAGTAGCAACAGCCTTCTCCCACTTTGTCTCCTTGGTTTTATATTATCTCCCCAACGATTGACATGATCTCCCATGATCTGGAAGTTCGAATTGTTCCAACAGCTGATTTCAGTTTTGGATGCCTAGACACCTAAGCGCCAAGCTCTCAGTTTGGAACTGATCATCGGGCTGGCGCCATGTAGCCATGCTCTCATGTTATGGCTTGATTCTGAGCATGTTCTACAGCCTAGACACCCAGTAGCTGAATTTTTCCCCAATCTTCATTTAGTTTTATTTTGATTCATCTTATCCATCCCTCGTTGCAACCTACAAAATCAACACAAAAAACCTTCCTCCAAAGTGCAGTTTCATCAATTAAAATATATAAATGCAAATAAAATTAATTGCCAAATTATCAACATATCAAAATGCCTCAAACTTAAGGGTTACTTGTCCACAAGTAACAATAAATCTTAAATGTTTGATAATGTTGAGCCTAATAGGAGCGGGCTTTCATAAAGGACTACCTACAATCAACCTTCTAAAGATACATAGTTGATGATCACAATTTCTCTATTGAATTATTCTAACACATGTGCTTCAAGAAGCTTTGAACTCTTCAAATGTTATATATTCTCATATTTATTTCAAGAGAGTTAATAAACACTAAACTAATACAAATTAGATGTCAAATTTTAAGAATAAAGTGTGATAATTCAAAATATTTAAACTGAATAAAAATAAATATTGTTATGGAGTTTTGAATTTAAAAGAAATACTAACAAAACCAATTTTTGTTAATGCTTCTTCTCAAACTTCTTCTCAATATTTTTCATTTCTAACTAACCCCCACCCACCCTAAGATGAATATTTCAATCCCTTTCATAATTTCTTTTTTTTTTCATTCACATTCTAGAGGATTACTATGTCTGGATTAATTTTTTAATGATTTCGAATTCTACTATAATTTCCCCAAATTAAAATACTCCAGCATTCACTTTCTATTCAAGATTTACCAAATATGAATCATTAACATAAAAATAAAATTAGATGGAGACTATATTCTTATGAAGATACACATTTATGTGCAAATAACTAACTCTTCTTAAAATTAAATATGTTCGCTAATTAATCATTTGTTGAATTTCAAAAATTAATCGGCACCATTTCAATTTAATTCAAATAGAGTCCGAATGACATTTAACTATGTTTCATCTTTTATTAAGGTTGTTATAATCCCAAATTCATACCCACTTTCCTATTGTCAATAAAAAACAATCACTAATAATTTGTTTACAAAAGACATAATTTAAACATTACATAATTCTCCCCCCTCTAACCTTGGGTATAAAGAATTTAAAGCATTAATGTCCCCTAACACTTGTTCTAGCCAACAATCCAACAACATCAAATATAACAAGACTTACAACCATCACAATTTTTTCAGTTCCTCCCATCTCTCGATCATTCACATGATACGAAAAATACTCATTCAGAATATGGAAGTAGACAACCATGGACATACCGATGTCTCATCTCATAATTTTATTTATGGGGCACTTACATACATATCACACATTATTTATGTATTCACACATCGCACCTAAATTCTCATATTTACACACAACACTCAAATCTTTAACATCAAATAACAAATAACACGATTACAAATTCTAAAAAAGTCAAATACTCACCAAAGTTCTACGTGTATAAATACATAAGAATCGTGTACTACGTATGCAAATTACCATTTCATACAAACCTCATAAAATAAAATAAAGGTTTAAACCATCACATGATTTATTGAAAGAAAATAAAATATTTTGACTGCTCTGAACTTCACAAATAAAGCTGCCTTATTATTTTCTAACACTAACAGGAACAGAACAGAGAATAGCAGCTGAATAAAATCAATCAACATTCAGTTGGATGTTGCAGATCTTGCTCTCTATGTTCTCCACCCCTTTCTTCTTCTTTATTTCTACTTCAGAAGTGGGGTAAGCTCTTCCACTGCCAATCACTAGACTTCTAATCTTCATCTTCAGATCCTCATCCTTTAATAGTGATTCCAGAGTCACATGTAATCCTAAAAAACAAAAAACAAAAAACAAAAAAAAAAGAAAGAAAGAAAAGTAATAGTTTAATAAAAATAAAAAAAATAAAATTAGATATTTTCATGTTTATGCTAAAAAAAGTATTACAATGATGAGCGAAGTGCCAAAATAGTCTGTCCTTTGATTATTATTTACTTGGGAATGTTTTAGTCCTAGAGTTTATAGAAGCACCAAATTGGTCCCCAAACTTATTAAATTGTGGCTCTAATAGTAGGACTATTATGCTAAAAAGAAGAAATTACAATGAGAGCAAAGTGTCAAAATAGTACATCGACTCTGTACATGGGATCGTTTTAGTCTAAAGAGTTTACAAAAGTGCCAATTTGGCTCCCATATTCTTTAAAATGGGGCTAAAATGGTCCTTGGCCTCAGACATATTAAATTGTGGCTCTAATAGTCTTCCATAGGGACTATTACGCTAAAAAAAGATATTACAATGATGACTAGAAGTGGCAAAATAGTCCCTTGACTCTTTACATGTGACCGTTTAGTCTCGGAGTTTATAAAAGTGCCAAATTGGTCCCTAGATTCTTTAAAATGGGGTTACAAGAGTCCTTAGCCCCATACTAAATTGGGGATCTATTAGTTCTCCATAGGGGTTATTTTAGAGCAAATTCAAAAAGTCTGTGGACTGATTTGACACTTTCATAAATGCTGGGATAGAAAAGGCCTCATGTAAATCGTTAGGGACTATTTTGACGATTTGTTCTTACATTGATAGCATAGTTTCATGATAAATTTTGAGGACTTAACAAAAATAAAAAATTACATATGTATCATATGCTAAAAATGAAAAACTATAGTGATAGTAGAATTCCATAACAATTCAAAAAAAAAGGAGCCAAGATATACCTTAAATGTGATGTGAATACTTTTTTAGTAATTGAATTTACTTTTGAGATAAATGAAATACACTCCAAAAAACAAAAATGCTACAATAAGCAACAATTTAAAAGATTTAAAACAATTCTACAATTTGATACTTCTAAAAATGAGAAACAAGAGTGATAGTAGAGTTTCAAAATAAATTGAAGGGGCATTGACATACATAACACCAATTCCTGTGCATTTACATATCTAATACCTAAACTTTACTTTTTTTTTTATATATTTATGCCACCCAGATTTTGAATATTACATAAAAAACTCCACCATTTCAACTTTTAAAAATTGAAACACACCCTTTCATGCATAAGGTGCTATGTATGTAAAAATTGAAGTTTTAGGAGTTAGATATGTAAATACATAGAAATTGAGTGGTATGTATGCAAATCTTCTAAATTAAAATAAAATAAACTGAGTCGATATATCTTAAGCTAATTTTGGCCAGGAAGAGCTTCTGGTCACTGCATTTAATTTTGAGATGACTGTAAATTAAGTATTGATTAATTAGCCATATATTGCACTCATCTCAAAGAAAATCCAACGACTAAAAATTACTAAAAACCTAACCCAAATTTTCTCCAACATAGATATAGATAATACGGTCATATGAAAGTTATACATATATCTTGGACTTGAAGAAAATTTAAATCATTGGTAGAGTGAATATTTAATATCTCAGTTTATGTGATTTTAAAGGAAGATTTACATGCACGCCACTCAATTTCTATGTATATTTACATATCTAGCATCTACACAGTAGTTTTTACATGCATGCCACCTTATCACTGCCTCAAAAACATTTTTTTATGTGATATGAAAATTTTGGGTGTTAGATATGTAGATGCATGAGTATTGAGTGAAAAATCAATATCATCTTGCTCTCTAAAGTGACTCGAAAGCTTACGATATCGCCAATAATGCCGAGGGTTTGTTGGATCATTTATGGTTTCCTCATTTGCTGGTCTGTCTGTGTAGTCTTCTTTCAGTGCCAGTAAATCCTAGTTAAGGAATTGGCAAATTATGAAAATAATGAGAGGCTATGTATGTAAATATGAAAGTTTACGTGTGAGATATGTAAACACATAAGGATTATATGCAAGGTATGTAAATGACCCAAATAATAAAGATGGTGATGGTGATGATGAAGAAAAGGTTTTTATTTACCTGAAGGGGGAAGATTGCCCACATTGATGGAGCAAAAAGATGCTGATGGATGATGAAGTTGGCTACTTCAGGTGTGCATTGAGCTGGGGGCTCATCATTGGAGCCAATCACATCTTTATAAAAGCGGAATCTTCGATCCTCATCTTCTTCCCACCATGCCCGCATGGTCGAACAATCATGGCACGACGGCGCGCAAACCTGGAATCGACAAGAAATATTTCATCAAAAACAATGGTGGAACCATGGGGGGATGGGGGACGCAATCGCCAAACTCTTTAATATATGATAAAATTGTCCCCAGACTCTACGGTAGGGCTCATTTTAGTCACAGAGTCTAAAAGAGTGACAATTTAATTCCCAAACTCTTTAATATATGATAAAACAGTCCTCACAAAGGACTAATTCAGCCCCAAATTAAAGGATTTGGAGAATAATTTGACAAAAAAATCAACAAATAAGCCAATTCATGAAAAAAAAAAACTAAAGCCCTGTTTAAGATAACTTTTTGTTTTTTTTATGTTTTGTTTTTGTTTTATTTTTTATTTTTTGTTTCTAGAAAACATTTTTGGTACTGCTATTATTTACCTGTTTTTCAAAATAAAAATATTAAATACCTTTGGTTGGATGTTTTTCTATTTCTATACATTTTAAAAAAATATCACAAGCTCTTACTACATAAATACGTCAAACTCATATGTATAGAAATTGTAATAATGTTACAAGAAAAATATCGAAGTCGGCACATCCAAGGGTGTTGACTGACTTTTAACAAACTATAAAATCATGAAGATTTCACACTAAAACAATGTTATATACGTCTGATAATATGACAAATAATCATTTAACCCAAAACAAAATAAATGCATAACTTGATAAAAAAAAAATTGACATAGCTTGTGATGACATCAAAAAATTTTGTACTTTTATATCTAATATTTAAAGTTTGATAGGTATATTAAAAATATTTGGTGTCATAAATTATACATAAATTAAAAAGTGTATTTCACATTAAGAAAATAAATAATGACAATATGTTGATACTACGTCAAAATCTTGAGCACCATGCATAAAACTATGAAAGGTTATAGGTATTTCATTTATATGTGTAGATTAAGAAAAATATATTCGTAAGTGTAATAAGCATCTAAATGCCTGTCGGAACGAATGAGCTTCTTTGCCATAGCAATGTTCAGAATGTTCTAAACATGCGCGGACGCAATCCCTGTTTTCCTTCAAGAACGCTACATCTTCATGAGAGAGACAGCGTATAACGCCTACCGCCGCTCCTCCTACGTCCTCTCGAACACCATTGTTAGCTTCCCATCCCTCTTTCTCCTCTCTGCTGCCTTCGCATCACATTCTTTTCCGTGGGGCATGCGGGCGGCACTGAAGGCTTCGTCTTCTTCTTCTTCGTCGTCCTTTTCTTCTCACTCTCTGCTGAAATCTTCGACGGCATCAAAGAGGCATGTGGTCGTGGCCTAAAGCGACCGCAGCAGCTGCTGCCCTGTTCTCGCAGCCTGGCTCTTTGCTGCCCACGCCTGCTCTGCCCCCATTACCATTCCTCCGTATCGCCGACGCCAGTTGGAGAAGACCCTTCACCAATGATGCCGGAGACTGACTCGATGCACTCCAAACTGCGCTAGCTGCCTGCAACAAATTGCTCGCTCCAAGCTGGCTGGCGTGAGGAGGAGAGGAAGGGATCGGGTTGTATCGCGCAGAGGAGAGGGCCGTGTTTTAAACAGTAAAAACATACTTTTTTCTTTTTTGGATATTTTAAAAACATCTGTGTTATTTTTAAAAATAAAAAAAAAATTAAATTAAAAAAAAAACAGTTAAACAAACACTGATTTTCTATTTATTTCCTATTTTTTTTTATTTTCAAAAATAGATAACAACAAATAAAAATTGATCCCATGCAGCCCCTTAGCTAACCGACCGCAATTTTTGAGAAAAAAATGTACCGTCATATAACTGTACTGAGAAGGAATGCCAAACTCCAGTTCTGGCTCACTTGGCATTCTCTGAATTCTTAGGCCTATCAATCCCAGCTCTTCCATAACCTGTAGAAGCAAAATTGAGTTTTTTTTACCTTAGTGGCTGAGTGCTTAGCAGAATTAAGAAAACTGTTCCGCAGGGATATCAGACATACAGGATGAACGCAAGAAGGTATAAGACCAAGATCTTCACCACAAGCGAGCATATCTGACGAGCTCAACAGGACAGGTAGAGTCTTCAATGCGTTTTGACGCCAAAGATTTTCTTGACGGTGGAAATAATAATCGTAGTAGAATCGTTTGAGAACATTTTTGCTGTAAGAAATAAAAAAATTCAATAAGTAATATGAAGATTTACATACATACCGTTCAATTCTAATGCATTCACATATCTAATACCAAAATTTCAAATTTTACATGTACGCGGATTTTTCTATGCATGAAATAATGTATTTTGCTTTTTAAAAGTTAAAATAATGGTATATTTGATTTGATATCTTTGTGCAAAACAATGTGGAAAACAACATCGCACAAGCAAACAATCAAATACGGTGCAATTTTTGTGGTTCGGCGCTAATTCACCTATGTCAGCGGGGAGGGGTTATTCCACTATCAAGAGATGGGGAGAGAGGTAAAATGACCGAAATAAGGTTACAGCTTCACACACAATAATCAATCGTAATCCCTTTTATAAATAAGAGATGATTAGAACATATAAACTAAAAATATTTATGATATAGAAAAGATCAAGTAATTTGATCTGTAATTAGATTTACCTAATATCAATTTTCTTAATATAAAAACTTCCTAATATCCAACAATTATATTCAATACATCCCATAACAAATATGAATGACTTGTTTTATATGTTTTAATTCAAATAAAATGAGAGGAAAATAGAAAAAAAAATCAATGCACAAAAAACTGTGGACTCTGAAAATTCGCGACTGCTCCCCGAGAAACTCTCTACATTTATTTTTATTTTGTTTTGAGAGTTATTTGGAGGGTCAAATTTTTAAAAGACATATTGGATTGTAGATATGACACCACCCAAAGATTTCACCCTTATTTTACGATGACTTTTTGATTTAGGGTTCGAGGTTTCCTATAGGCGCAAACCCCTATGGTTAATTATCTCTCCTGATAACAGGAGAGCAGTTTCAATTAAGGCTTAAAAATTGAATATTGAACATAGAATAGCACTAGACTTATAATTTAAATTATAAAATGCACCATTTGAAGCTAAAACAGATGGTTGGGGAATGAAGACGAAATCCGATAAAGATCTCATGGTTTCATCATCCCAGATCGTCGTAGTTCCTAATCTACTTAGTCAAAGGATATAGTCGATCCAACCTAACAGAAGGATGTTTGTTAGCAGTCATGGGTTGCGTTGTCCAAGAGATCCTTGTAGATCAGGGGAGAATGTTGGTCTATTGGGACATGATTTAGTCGATGTTAGTTAACAGAAGGTTTCATGTTAATCAACTGTACGCTTATGATTCACAACATGAATAACAGAAAGTGATTGGGAAACATACGGGTCATGGCCGTGACCGTAATATAATGGTGTCATTTGACAACAACCATCCAGTCAGAGGGCTCAGTCGTAACCGCTATTTCATGATATCATTTGACAGCAGAACCACACGGTCAGAGGACTCTGACGACGTCCTTACTAGTGTGCAATTACTTTGATTGTGAATATAGGGATACACTTAATATGAAATTAGCTCTTTGTGAGCTAAAGTCAGTTAAAAATTTGTCACCCTCGACAAACTGTTGCGGACGGTGGATGGGGTTTATTTTAAGTCTTTCAAGTGATTTATTTTTAACTTGAACATTTTGATTGATTACTTAGAAAATATTGATTTAAAAGATTAACTCCTCCAGTTGATATCTTCAATCAACACGACCATCATCGGGGATATGAACATATTTAAGCTTTTATATTTGAAGGGGGGCATTTAGTTTTGTTAATTTTATTTTTAAATTATAAGTCCTGTCACCGCCCGTCCTTACAAGGAGGATCAGACTAGTTTGGTGAATTATTAATTATTATTTCAGAATTTAAACATTTATTTTAAAACTACTAGACTCGTCAACTTCAGTCCTTGTGAGGAGCGGGATCAGATTAGTGGGGTGGGACTTAACACCCAAATTTATAGAAAAGGCAGCCCGATCAACCCACACAACATTCGCGAACCCAGTAGTTGAGCATTCAACACATTGACTGGAGCACATGCGGACTTGTAATTTCATAAATTCAAATAACTCAAAGAGTTTAATAAGCTTTACAGATTTGCATAAATTTTAAGTCATAAATTTAATATGAAATTTACATCAAGAAGGACATACAAGATTTTGAAAATGTGCATAATTAAATTGCTTATATAAACACATTAATGCAGATATAGCTCAAAAATATCTCAAATGATACTCATCTAAGTCTTAAGAGTGGACTCGCGTTTCAAAACATCTCATTCGACTTAGGAGATAACCACAAATTTTATAACCACAAATTTTTTATCACAAATTTTTTATAAAATTTGAAGTCATTTGGAGCTTAAAATATTTCAAAAGTATTATGATTTTAGGATTTTAAAAAAGAACCGTCTTCTGTTCGCTAGTAGATATGTTGCGAGTTCGGTGGCGAGATTGAACATAGAAGTCATAGTCTAATATTTAAGATCAGCATTCATATTTTTGAATTTAATTTTAATTTATACATTCATATTTGAGTCAATTTGTCAGCCCCAATGCTTGGATCCAATCCAGTTTTAGCCCCCAATTATGATATTTCATATTTAAGTCAAGTTCAAACCCAAATTTATAGAATTTTGCAAAAAAAATCAATTTAGGTTTAGCAGTTAAGCTTGGATCCAATCAAGTTTAGCCTAAGTTATTATATTTAACATTTAAGTTAAGCTCGACGTCTAAATTGTGATGTTTTATATTTAATTTAAGTTTAACCTACCAATTCATGACATTTAAGTCATTTAGAACATTTTAACTTTCAAAATCATTTGTAGGACTTGATAATCCAATTTCAAATATATATTTTATTTTATTTTTGCAAATTTAAAAACTTAAATAATTCAATTTTAGACCTTTTATAAGTTTGTAAAGTTCAAATCTTAAATATTTTTCAAGTTCGAATTTACTAGAAATTTCGGCAGCCTCCCATCTTCGTCCCCGGTTAGGGGGCTGCATTGAAGTGACTGCTTGCCCGATTGTCTATAAGATGTCTCACAATATTGTGGCCATAAGGAATCTTCTAATCCACCGGCCTATAAGACACATGTGAGTCTTCACTTTTCCTGCTTTTTCAGCCATAAAAGGTTTACCAATCCACAGGTCTAAAATAATATAAACCCAATTTCCTATACAATTCTCTCATTCACCCATCTCTCCTTCTCCCTTTACACCTCTTATTTTTATAATATATAATATACATTATATATTATATTTGGAAATAGTAGAATTCTTTTTGCAGCTACCATAAGAAAAGAAATTCTAACTTGGGATGGCTTACGAGGCAGCGAGGAATTTAAGAAAAATTAATAGGTTTTTGGTTAAACAAATGCTATAAATGAGGGAGATATAGGAAAACCGCTGACTTTTAAAAAGCTCATTTTTTGTGTGTTACATTATACTTATTTGAACACATAAAAAGCCTTTTTTAATGTGTTCCATTACCTTTTGTGTCATCTAAAAGCTAAGATATAAACCTGATCCCACGAGCAAAAAGGAGAGAAGGACTTCGATTTCATCGCGTGACACCAGAAGAAGAACAGGAAGTTTTGGTTGTCACTTTGCTGGCCTTACCTCTTGCTTTAGTCACGATTGTGTCGCTTGGTCGTGAGAGAAGCGAAGCAGGCGGAGAAATACAACGATTTCCGGTAGGAGAGACAGTTGGGCAAGGGTACCATGAATTTTAGTGGTCAACAAAAAACATGCAAATTTTTTTTTTACAGAATCACCCAATTAATGGCTGCATCATGTTGCGCTACAAATTTCACTATCATTTTGTCATGAAAAATTGCAGCTTTAATTCATTTGATCCAAATGTAGATAGGAATACCTGTGATCATCTAGATCTTGAAAGCTTGATGTGTCTTCCAGATTGAACCGAGGATAAAACTTCCCTTGCTCTTCCGGATCTTGAATAAGAACTATGTTCTTCACAGCAGAAAAAGCGTTGAAGGATTATAAAAGTAAACCCTTTCCATTAAAATTTGCAGTGGACCATGATAACAAATAAATGCACTGCAAGGCCAACATAATGATGTCATCACTGTAGCAAGCTACTACCTGTAAGAGATCGAGGAGACTTCTCTGCACCTCAATTTCCTTACCAGCCCACAATGATTTCTCTGGGATCAGCACCAGCTTCTCAATAATTTTCTTCTCTGTATTGCAGTCTTCCTTGAACTAAGAATAATAAAACAAACAGGGAGAAAAGAAATTCACAATATATGGTGGTGTTTGGTAGCATAAAATTAATAAGATTTGAGAACGATTTTAACGTAAATATAGCCAAACGCGAAAAAAATGTGAAATAGATCAGACAATTTGCTAAATTCAAGATTTTCTCCCTTGAATTTTCGACATAAATCAGGATTTACTAAATACTATTTTAGGTTGATTTAACAAATTTAGCCTAAAGAACATTAAATCCTAATAAAATACCAAACATAAGAGATGAATCTAAGCGGATGGAAGTTGGATGTAAGTTGGATGTAAGTGGATGTAAGTTAACATTGTCATTGCCGGTCCCAAGCCCGAATGTGAAAAGTAGAGGGTTGCGTTAGGTAATTGACAGTCGGCGTAAAAATTGTCGAAAAAATCACGACATGAATATCTTTTAACACTAAATAGGATGCAATAGAGAAAAAAAATTCATGTAGCCGACCCCACATAGTAGGATAAAGGTTTTGTTGTTGTTGTTGTTGTTGTTGTAAGTTAAATCATACCAAACATCTTCTTGGATTTAACAACGCCAAATTTCATAACTTCAGATTCACTAAATCCTACTTAACCTAAATTCTATGTTACTGCAGAAGTGAAATGTCAGAGATCTCACTTGAATAAAGAGTTGTCTCAAGCTGATCAAAACTCAAAGATAAAATGACGGAGTATTTACATACATAGTCACAATTCTAATGTATCTACATGTCTCACACCAAAACTTTCATATTTACACAAATAGCACTCAAATCTTTAATATCGCATAAAAAATAGCACTAATACCATTTTTTAAAAGCGAAATACACATTTTCATGCATAGTTTTATAAGAATTGTAAATATATAAGAATTGTACGCTAACTATGTAAATTTCCACAACATGGGTATAACGACTTGCACAATTCAAGAAAAAAGTCTCAATTTGTTCATCGATAAGAAAGTAAGTGAAGCAGAATATCTTAGGGTCTTAGATAATGTAATGCATAAAATCTCATACATCGAATTTGAAATTTGAACTTCCAAAGACTATAAATTAAATAAGTATCCGCTATCTTTTGTTGCAATAAAAGAATACGTAGAATTCAAACAAAACAATAATTTAATGATACATGAAACCAAGAAAGAGACAGAAATAGAGAGATTCAAAGACACCAAAATCTACAATTTGATTGAAATAAAAAACACAGTTGAAGAAATAAAGTGTAACAATTTTGATTAAAATCATACCTACACACACGACCCACACCCACGACTTAAAAAATGCAGATGGCAAAAAAAAAAAAAAATGCGCTACAGAAAACTAGGCCTCATGTTGATACTCGGAAATAAACTTAACGGAAATTAGATAGTCTCACTTGCACTTAAAAATGTCATAACGACTTGTTGTTCGTGAACAGTTCGTGTTCGGCTTGTTAAGAAACTCGTGTTCAATTTGTTTGCTAAGTTAATGGGTTGAACACAAATAATATTTTTGCGCTCAATATATAAATGAGCCGAAGGCAAAAAAAAGATTTGTTCGTTCATGTTCAGCTTGTTTTGGCTCGAAATACTATTGATCAATTATATATGTGTGTGTGTGTGTGTGTGTGTGTGTGTGTGTGTGTGCGTGTGTATATATATATATATACACACACACACACACACACATATATAATTGATCAGTAGTATTTTTAAAAAATTTTGATTTATAAACAATTGAAATTATTAATTAAAAAATAGAATAAAAATATATTAAATTATTAAAATGATGTTTTAATATAAGTAACAAGATTTAAATCTTGTCCCAACCCTTAACATCCTACGATTACATGACTAGGGTTGTCTAAACCACTCTTAGTCCACGAACAGCTTGTGTTCGGCTCGCTAAGCAAACGAGTTGAACAACAACATATTTTTTATGTTTGAAATATAAACAAACCGAACACGAACACTGGTGTTTTTTAACGGGCAAAACACGAGTTGGGCCTGGGCTCGCTTGTGTTCAGCTCGTTTACACTACTTTTCTCCTTAGAGCCTAGTGTCTGGCCTTAGGTTTTCTTTGTTTCACCCTCTTAGAGGATTAGTACCAAACCCACACAATTTAGAAAATTCGAGCCACCTCGTCACTCCTCCGAGTCTCGCATGACAGTCTTGAATCCTTGAAATCTTGCTGAGTTGGTTAAAACCGACATATGAAACTTGAGTTGAGTTCCTACATAAATAGGAGCAGCCTCTAGGGAACTTCTTGCGACCCGAACACTCACTAACCCCGCATTTTGCACACTTATCACACCACACACGACTTTAACTTGAATTGACTTGCCCGTCGGCGAACTCTTCCGGATTACCATGGATGACGAAACAGACCACACGGATGCGTCCGAGATGTCAACTTTAGCTTGGAATGACACCCATATTGTCATGGTTTCGCGCGCGAGCAACTAGCACGAATATCGATGCACGTTTTTTTAGCCGGGCGCGGGCCCGGGCTCAACCTAAGTCCGACTTGGGTTTGATTCAGGCTGGACATGGGCTAATTGACTCAGCTTATATGATTTTAAATTTCAAATTTATCATTTAATTCTCCCCATTAAACTTTTTCAATTAACCTGTCGGCCTGAAAGGAAATCATTAATTTCCCCGCCCAACACAAGCTTAACAGTTATTTTTGAAATTCGAGGGATAGAAATCCCGCTCGGGCTCGCCTTCTTCCTATGGAACCTCTCCTCCTGCTCGCCGAGGATTCCTCTCTCTCGCTCGCCACCTGATTTAATTAATTGGAAGATATAGAAAACTCTAAATCACCTTAAGCATAAGTTAAAGTGTAGGTTTCCTACACTTTAGGAGCATACCCTAGGTGAGAGCTCATCCACCTAATCCTCAATGTAGACCTCCTAGACTTTAGGTGCACACCCTAGGTGAGAGCCCATCCACCTAATCCTCAGTGTAGGCTTTCTAGAGCTTAAGTGCACACCCTAGGTGAGAGTTCATCCATCTAATCCTCAGTGTAGGTTTCCTAGTCTTTAGGAGCACATCTTAGGTGAGAGCCCATCTACCTAATCTCTGCAATGTAACCTCCTAAGGTTTTAGGAGCATACCTTATGTAAGAGTCTATTCATCAAATCCTCGAATGCACAGTAAAACTAGACACTTGACCCTGATTCACAAACTGATCAAGACACTATACACTAGGATGCACCGAGACGTGACTCATGCTTCCTTAATTAAATCAACAGTGAAATTCCCTTAATGACTTAACCTACAATGAAACTCAGTGCATCGGGATTTGAGCTTGGATATTACACTCAAAACCTCCTGGCAATTGGGGAAATTTGTTAACGCCACATATGGATCATCGGACTAGGATAAGTCTAGGGTCTAGGTGGCGAGGGCGATGACGACATTGCTCATGTGTGCTTAAACGAGGGATACGAGGTTAGATTATTAGAATAATATCTCATACCTCAAGGATCTTCAATAAGGGAGAGGGAAGGACTCATGATACTATTCGCCGATTCTTGGTGGGATCGTTGCCCCCGACACTCTTAAGTTGTCAGTAGTTCTAGTTAGAGTGACTAGTCTGTGGACTGTACGACTTTACAAAATATTTACAAAAATAAAATAAAATTTTTTTTTGCATGATTAAAAGAACTCTGCATAAAAAAGACTTGAATAATAACTTTTGCATGAAAATCTTTCTATGAAAATTTATAAAGGTCCACGGCTAGTCACTTGGATTGAGGTTAAGAACTATCTTCTGTAGATTGTTGGGCCGGTGTTGCTTGTGATTTCTACTACTCGTTTTTATGACTTTCATTTTGGGTTTTATTGTCTTATTTATTTTACTTGCAAGTTTATTTAAATCTGCTGCAAAACATATTATGTTCGCAACACTAATAACGTAACAGTAGCAGATACCCAGATATACTTTTACAGTTTGTCTACAGTATTATACTTTACTGCATTTTACAATTCAAGTACCTTTTATTTACCTGTAATTTGATTATTCTACATGCAAAACCAGCACTGAAACCAAAATCGAAACAAAACAAAGCCAAATTTTGACACCAAAACTGAGAAGCACAAATCACCAATCTTAAACACTTAAACCCTGAAGCCATCGCTACAACAAGAGTTTGGAGCCAACTTTGTGGGCAGCACGACGAGGAGCTTGGATCGAGCGATAAAAGGATCTTTTTCGGCATTATCCCTTCCTAGCATAATAACAACCTATAGGACTTCGAGGTAGCTCGCCTAGCGCGACATAAATCCTCACTTTCTCCTTAGGCTTCTGTGCAACCATGTTGCGCGGCATGAGTCCTAACTCGACTTAGGTTCCGAGGTTGTCGTATGGTATGACGTAAACTCTCTTATCTTTGTGGGCTATTTGCATAATCTGACACTATGCAAGTTTAAGTCCCAAATAATAAAACTGACAAGATCAAACACTTAATTAACATTGTCTCCAAAAATATAGCCACACAGTAGGATAGTTTGGGAAGTCATTGGGGATTCTCCTCAGATCTGTGACATCCCCTACCTTTTACTTTCTTTGGACTCCTGAAAGAACTGTTCCTACTTGAGCCACTCCCATTTGCCCTTCTACGTCCTACCGTGAAAACCTAAACCTTGAAATCTTGAAGACTAGAACCATTGATCATTATCGAGAGTTTTCTCAAGTGACTCCCGTCATTTGGGATGTAATTAACTATAGGGGCTTGCCTCTATAGGGAACTTGTATTTAATCTTTGTATTAGATAGGAGAACTTGTCGGTCATATATAAAAGGTTCGCAGACTAAACGGATGTCACAAATCTCTTAGTTTGCAGGATTGGGTCTATCGCCGAGGTCTATACTTATCTTTCAGGAGGGTGTAATATTCGCGGTATCAGACACGATTATGCAAACTATTGGACGAATGAGATCCATTCGGTCTTATTTTTCAAAAATTAAAACATACTACTTTTAAAACTCAAACTATATATCTTTTATATTTAAATTAAATTTCAAAAATTATTTTCATATACCATATTTTCAAAATCTATCGAAAAAGTTGACCGACACACCCCTACTTGCATTGTGCTATAAAAAGCTCAACATCCAATAAGCACACACAATGAAATTAACAAAGCCAAAAAGTGTCCTTTATATATGCATCAACACCCTAATCTATAATCACATATTTCCTTATTAAGCTGGCAGTCCAAAAAAAGGAATTTTACATACATAACATAGAATTCTTATGTATTTACATGTCTAACACCTAAAGATTTCAGTGGTATGCATATAAATATGAAAGTTTAGGTGCCAAATATGCAAATATATAAGAATTTGCAAAATGTGTGTAAATGTCCCAAAAAAAAATTGTGCTTCACAATTCTATAACAATTGCAGAAGTCATTCCCTTAAGTTATGGGAGATAAAAGAAACAACCTAACATCAAGCTAATTAGGGAATAAGAAATAGTGCCTGCTTTAAACTTCCTATAGCTTGAACGGTAGAGCAACCAGCCACAAATAAGCTTGATTTTCTGCAAATTAAGAAACCTGAAGTTTCTACATGCAAATTTTGAATTGTTTGAAGAATATAAGCCTTGTTGCACTTAAAATAATTATTTTTAACAAGGATTAGGAGAACAGGAAAAATATTCAACTGCACGCATAATAAATTTATAGAAACTTCAAATAACAATTCTGGATTTATTTGCAGAAGTTTTCAATGGGAAATAAGATGAATACATGAACAAATAAACCCGCGAGCTGTATGATTTAAAAAGCATTCAGAACCATGATAACTACCTCAAAACATTCTTTCGCATATTCGTTAAGGAAACATGAAGCAATAACCATCCACTTGGCTCCAAATTTATCCTGGAAAACTATTTGGAATCAGCAAAAGTAAAAGAAGGTTTTACGAGATAGAAGAAGAAGTCTCAAGAAACCTGTAGAATATTTTGCCGAATATAAGGACAGCTCAATCGATCAAAATCCCAAATTCCTTCCCTCTCCAGCTCTTCCTAACATTATATTAATTTAAGAAGAATGTACAAAGACAAGGAAGGAGTAAAGTGCCGGAAACAATTTTAGTCCAAGAGACTAGAAAAGTGTCAAATAAGTCCCCATACTCATTAAATTGGGGCTAAAATAGTCCGCATGAGTCCCATGAAGACTATTTCAGCTTATATTAAACAATTTTGAGACTACATTGACAAATTTATAGATTCTAGGACTAAAATGACCTCCTGCCAAGAGTCAGAGGACTATTTTGACCTTTTTCTAGTAAAATAAATAATCATGTAATCAGAAGAGACTATCTGTTTCCACAAAAATTGTGGTGCAGCAACTTTGAACAGATAGAATACCTGGCTCAGCGCAATGGATGGGCGAAATTTCCCGACTAAACCGGTTGCAGCATGGTTAGGAAGCTCCCAGATTCTAAAGAAACCTAATATATGATCAATCCTATATGCTGAGAAATACTTTGCCATCTGCAAGACCAAGAGAGCCTAATTATTCAAAAACCAACACTGAGCATAAAAGAGATTCCAACTAAGGACAGTTTGTTGAAGGGCATTAAAATGAGAAATGTGTCAAAACGGTCCTTTAACTCTTTGTCAAGAGACATTTTAGTCCCAAATTCTATAAAAGTGTCAATTTAGGCTCCAAACTCTTCTAAAGAAAATTAAAATAGCCCTTTTGCGAACTATTTCCAGCTCTTATTAAAAGAATTTGAGAGCTAATTTGATACATTTATAGACTCAGAGACTAAAATGGTCTCATGTAAAGACTATTTTGACACTTTATTCCCATAAAAGTATACCTGACTAAGACGAGCTCTCCACCATGCATAATTATCTTTTGACATTTCTTCCCAGTTGTAGGTAGGGAATCCCCAGTTTTGTCCATTCTTGTCAAAATAATCTGGAGGTGCTCCAGTAGACGTATTCATTCGAAATAGGTTTGGATAAACCCATGTATCAACACTATTCCTATCAACTCCTATTGGTAAATCTCCTTTCAAAACAACTTTTTTTCTTCTTGCATAAGCTGCTGCTTCTGATAACTACCAGTTGAAATTTGAACAAGTAAGAAAATGATGGAAAAAACAATGAAAAATGAATGTTCATTGATCCGAGAAAACCTTTACAAAATGGGAATGTTTTCATTACTTGCAAATGAAGATGGTACTGAATGTAATATTGAAAACAGATGACATCATAGTGTAAGTTGTCCTTTGAGATGAGCTTCTCCAGCTGGAGGAAAAATGAAAACTCGGTGTAGTTTAAGTGAATATGTGGTGCAATAAATTTGAGTCATACTCAACAGGAAAAAAAAATCACTTATTACTGGAAAGATTGAAAAGTCATAACAACATATTGTCAATTCTCCAAAAATGAATATTAAATAAAAGAAATATCTGGAGGCATTAATTAGTTCAATTACCTTCTCTTTTGAAAATTGCGAAAAGCGACCCCATTGGCTATGATCTGATGTTCCAAAGAAATCCCTCAAAAAACAAAATGCTGCATAAGGTTTCAACCACTCCTGACCAGTTTCAAAGCAAAATTACTAAACATCAGCACATGAAGCTCATATACATCGAAATTCAATAAATTGCACAAAATTCAACACTTATTATTCTTCTTAGAAAGGCAGAATATAGAGAACGAAGATTTGAGAATATGATATATACCTCATTATCTGATAAGAATTTCAAGAAGGGTTTGGAACCAAGTATCTCATCCTTCTCAAGGTTGAATATTTTCTTTGCAATGGCTAATTTAGCAGTCATTGTGGCCTCATAATCAACATCCTGCACTACAAACCAAAAATATGGCAGTTTGCATGGTAGGTAAACAAGTACTTATAAGAACAAAATGATTGTGAAAGTCCATCTAGCTATTTGGTAAATAAACACTACATCCCATTTCCCAAGATTTGAATGATAATAAAATATGTTTATATGGCCATATAAGGTGCCATTATCGATATATAAAGCTTATAGGACATACAAGGTTCAATTTTGGGGATAAAGGTAAATTTATTTTTAAAAATGATTTTTACATTAAAGCAGTAGTGGCCGCCCTTGATTGGGTCCAAGAATATGAGTGCATTTTGTGTACTTAATAATGTCTCATTTCCATGGGAAAATCATTTAGGGAGAATCCATGAGTTAATGATCATGAGTTGCTACAATTTCACTATTCATATAGATTGTTTCTCAATGTAGAGGCATGTCACCAACTTAAAAATTTAGGATTTGTTTGATCCTTGTAATTTACTCTTTGCAAGAATATAAGGTGCCATCATCGATATATAAAGCTTATAGGAATTAGGACATACAAGGTCCATTTTTAGGGATAAAGGTCAATTTTGTTTTTAAATTGACTTTTAAATTGAAGCGGTAGTGGCCGCCTTTGATTGGGTCCAAGAATATGGGTGCATTTTGTGTACTTAATAATGTCTCATTTCCAAGTCAAAAGCATTTAGGGAGTATCCATGAGTTAATGATTATGAGTTGCTACAATTTCACTATTATTTACATTGTTTCTCCATGTTGTAGCTTCACACCAAGTTGAAAATTTAGAATTTGTTTGAGTCTTGTAATTTCCTCTTTGCGAGAATATAAATTTAATGTTGAGTTCAGATAACATGCTAGGAACATTGACACTCCCAAAAACCTTTTTATATGAGTCTCACAAAACAAATTTTACGTACTCATATATCTAAGATATCATTTACACACGTACGACCCAATTCCTATGTATTTAAATCTCCAACACCATGATTTGGTGCAACCTTGGAAAATTTAGTAAAGACAGCTGCAACCTTAATAATTAATGAAACTTAAAAAACTAATAAGTTTTAGGAAAATAATAGTAATTATACTATAGTTTCAAGTAACACAAGTAAAGGTACCCAGGGCAAAAAATCATTAGATTTTTTAAGTGTCCATGTTTACAAAACTTGAGGCTAGTATATATAAATTAATTAATATAGCCTTTGACAAATAGGCCAAATCATAAGGCCTTCTATAAAAATTTCCACAATGGAAATAAGCAAATTCTATAAAATAGGGGGTTTTATTTTGTTTCCCAACCGCTTCAAAATCATATTGCTTTAAGACCACAGGTTATCTATTGCATCTCCTATGGATTTAAACAATCTTTACTTCTCATCCTTAACCATGACAATATCTTGAATCTAAGGGTTTGTTTGGGGCAGATGTAGCTTATTAATAAATTGTTGCACAACAGTGGTTATAAGAAGTTGTTGCGAATAAGCTGATTGTTTGTTTTTTCGTACAATTTGAAAACAGCTGTGTTGCAGCTGTTTTTGGACAAATGATCATTCTGTATTGTAATGGTATTACAACAAAACTGTTCATACTAGCTTATCCCATGCTTGAAAGCAAATATTCAGTTCAAAAATTACAAAATAAAAATAAACATCTCACTAAACAGTGAGTAGCACAACTATCAAAAATAAAAAATGACTATTAAAATAACAATCAATAATATGATAATATTATTTTTAAAATGCAGTTGATGTAGGTCATGGGACAAGCCATTTTCTAGGGAAACTCGCCACACCCAATCACTATCAGTTGTCGATTCCTCTAACCCATCTGCCCACCTAAAGAAGTCACAATTTTCTTGTCTTCTCTTCAAACACCTGTAAAACTGTCTCCTGTAACTGTGGTTCTTGTGACATAAGCAGGGATCATGGTAGTACGCAGTAACAGTATAATCCTCTGGAGGCATCACAAGCCCTTGAACTCATCTTCTTTGAAGGTTCAACACAACAAAACACAAATCCTTAGATGCAATATTAGTGAAAAAAATAATTAAACAATGCAAGTTTTATTAAACTCTGAAGTCTCAAATAACATAGCATAAACTAACAAATTTGTCACTTCCAAAATACAACAGCCTTAAAAAAAAGGATCTTGGTCGCCTTCAAAACAGGTAATGCCGAGCTCGTCACATATGCAAATAAAAAAAAAGCTATCTAGAAGAGTCTCAAAAAAACCACGACACCGAAAAAATAAGAGGAACTTGGTTACTTTCATTAGAATTTCATATGCGAAAAATACCAATAGCGACAAATAGGTCATCCAAAAGAACTCTTAAGGTCGAATGACTTATCACTGACCTCCAAAAAATCAAAAAAAGGCATGCAATAAATATTTACATATCACATTATATTCACGGTTGCCACTTCGGCCATCTAGGTGGGGAATAATACATTCAAAGGAGCAAGAAATAAAACTGAGATTCAAAATTTAAATGATTTTATAGAACATCGATACAACAAACAATAAAAGTTTTCATCATCCATTATAAATAAAGTAGCAATAAAAAAAACAATTGGTCCATTCAATAATCAACAATGATGCATGTAATCCGCTCTCGCAATTCAATCATTTCTCCAACACATTCGCCATCCTGGGTGCAACCTTCAGGTGTTTCAAGTCCTAGTTTTAATAAAGAATGTTCTAAGCGATATTTAAATGATTATCATCGACCCTGCTGAAGTCAATGTCATCGAGTGAAGGATGTCGCCGACTGTCATTGTGGCCACCATAATCTGCACCTGCTTCGGAAATGAATGTTAGCATATCAATCAGTATGATCCGTTTTTTCTTCCACACTCCAAATGTTCTTTCAATGACACTGCATGAGTTCATGTGTCTTTTGTTACATTTATTTCATGCCTCGAGCAACATTGTTGGATCTTCCAAAGTCAGAAATATGATATTGGGTATCCGGAAATGACTTCAGATATCCCCTTTAGTAAGAAATATCCAACGTCGATCAAATAATATTTATCTGTCACAAATATAATAATTAGTAATGTACTGAAAAAATGTCTAAATAGAATTAATGATTGAGCAAACCTGGGGGTGGGTGAGTGAAATTGTGCTTCTAATTTATTGTGGAAAACATGAATATACGACTATCATGTACACTTTCTTCTCAACCAGTTATAACAAAAGTAAAACATATGTTGAAATCACATACAGTCATTACATTTTGTGTTGGGATCACACCACACAATGAATGCGACCTTTTCAGTATTCAATATATGTGCATCCATATGTGTTTCATTGATCACTCCAATATAATTCTAACAAATTAAAGAATGTTGTGTAAATTATACTATTTATTTTGACTTCTGAATATAATTAGTAAAAAGAATTACCTAAAAATATGACACATAATGCAATCTCTATTGGATTATTCTCAAATGTTAGGTCCTCTAGCTTGATAATATTTTTTTATAAACTAACAAGAGTATTCAACCCAACTGAAAAGCTTCGAATAACAAATTACAAAAGTATACAATGAAAAAAATAAACATTCAAAGTACCATTAAAAGTGTTCCAATGAAAAAGAAGAAACATCCAAAGTTGAAGCCAAATAACCTATTGAAAAACAAATATAAATAGTTCAAAGATGACTAAATAAAGTCAAGTGTCCCTGCAGTCATAAAAATAACATAAATAATTGACACAACAATCATGAATCATCGTCATGAATAACTTTCTACGGGTCGGGCATCCAACAACTTCATGGAAAACAAATATAACGACATGTCCTCATAAGTTTTTGGAGTTGCCTCCAGAACTCACATAACTTGTTGTATAGAGGTTGCTTGTGATATCTTAGGGTCAATGATGCATAAAGCCACTAGTTGTGATATTTTGCTTCTAATGAAAGCAGTCCCTTTTTTTTCTTTTTCTCCACCCTTAGACGCTTTGTCTTGCTATTGGACTTTATTTCAATTTGATTCAGGCTAGGACCTTCATTGGAGTCAATTATTTGTTCGGCATCCAAGTTCTCAGGTATGCCTGGAAACCCTCGCTCACTCGAGGTTAATGCATTATTCCTTGTTGCCACAACTTCACTAAACATACGATCCAACTTCTCTGTCAGCTCAGAGTCAATACCACTGAATTTAAATTTTTTGGCGGTTGACACTGCCTCTAATGTAAAGGGACATGGATATGTTGACACAATTCAAGACAAGAAAGTCCTAATATGTATGTTTGATCTATTCTCACATTCACTCGCTCAACCCACTATTCTTCTGAAGCATCAATTGTCCGCTTGATCAGATTCCAACTCAAGCCCGTGTATCCTCGTTTCAGTTCCTTCCAAATTTTGCAGTCCTTTTTCAATTGATCATACTTGATCTTCAGTTGCATCCTATCATACTCTCTTCTCGTAATTTCCTTGAACCTTTCATAATATTTTATCATTCTTACTTGTTAAAATAGGTTGTGGGTCTATTTCTTAATTCCACCTCATTAAGGTGGAGGTCGAAAAATATTAGTTTAGCATCCTTATTTCACATAACAGATGAACTGAATTCTTTTGTCTTAGACATTGCATTACTAACATAGAATAAGTTAAACATAAATATTTGACAGAAGAGATAATTAGCACAAATCAAGCAAAAAAAAATATTGTATTTCACCATTGCCCCATAGTCATCACCGCACCAAACATCCACCCCCACACCAATCACCACTGCCCACACAATATACCCACACCAAACACCATTGCCCCCACACAACCCCCACACCAATCACCCAACACCACTGCCCCCACAATAGCCCCACACCAAACACCACTACCTCCACACCATCCACGCACCAAACACCACTGCTCCCGCAGCACCCCCACACTAATCACCACTTCCTCCACACCACCCCCACACCAAACATTGTTGCCCCCAATAGCTCATCCATAACAGCAGAAACTCTCATATAAATACAAATAACTGCCACAAATATAAACAAATAAGAAGTGAGTGTTATATTTGTAAATTTCTCTGAACTTTGCAGAATAATCTTGAAATATTTTTATAAATATCCCGAAACTTCTTTTTTATTTGTGCTCTAGGCATTATTTTTCCCCCAAATAATCCAATCATCCAAAACTTGTTTTTTCTAAAAAATTCTTTTATAAAAATTTCATCCAAGTAGCATACATCAACCCCACATAATCCAATCATCCAACAAGGCCATTTAAATACACAACATACAATTATATTGAATTTGCATATCTCGCACATTAACTTTAATATTCATGCACACAACACTCAAATCAACAAAACCAAATCGAAGTGAACACCATTACAATATAAGCAACATAGGGAAACCATGGTACAACAGTCAAATAAGCATGAGTACGACTACTATCATCCCTCAAATAGTAAATTTTGGATTCAACTATCATGAATGTAAACACATAAGAATTGTATGTTGGGTTTGTAAATTGAAATTCCCAACAAAAAAAGGAGCACACAACCGTCAAATAAAAACATAAATATAAAATCACAACAGAAAAAGGAGAACCCACAACATTGCTGGAAAAACTAGCACGATTCCCTATCCAATTTCATAATGTACATAGCATAAACCTTCTTTTTAACAAATGCTCAACCTTCTAATATCCTTTTCTCAATATTTTCACTCAAATATAAAAATTTATGATGAAATCCCAATCCATGCTAATCAAATAAACAACAGCCAAAAAGCCCTATAGATATATCGCTCCAATCATTTCTTAAATTTGCATTCACACATCACAAATCAACGTAGAAAAAATGAAGCAAAAATACCAAAACCAAGATTTGTTTGATAGGTATGTAATCATTCCCAAAAAACAAAATCAACGTAGGAAACAACGAAATGTATGCATCAACCAAAGACCACAAGCCTATCAAACAAACAACAAAGCATACGATATTATATATATGTAAAAATGGGGTTGTAGCCACCGAGAAAAGAGAACAAATGCAAGTCTTTGGTGTTTTGTATGTAAAAATCCCAAAAAAAAATTGTGTGCAAATCATACGGCTCATAGAGCAAATCCACGAAGAAGAGATGAGGGGGATAAAATACCAGAGGAAGAAGGAAACAAACGCCGGCAAAAACCCCATCCGGATGTGTCGGCGAGCAAAGAGAAGGTGTGGAGAAAAAACCATAGGCAGATCGCTTACGGAACAACGCCGAGCGGGAGGGAGAGCACGAAGGAAAAAATGCCATATAGAGCGGAATAATCTAGGATGGGATCGCGATGCGGCTTTGCAGGTGTGTTTAATAAAACACGGCTGAGCCGCACCAAACAGACGACCCTAAATCGTGGCAGCGGGCCGTGCCGAAATTCCACAGCTGTACCAAACAGACCCTAAATAATCTTTCCTAGTTTTACCATTGCAAGACACCATAATAGAAATATTAGCAGTAAATAGGCAAGATTATACCAATATGATTGATTATGTTGCCTCAAAATTAAGGAATAAATTTGCAAACTATTAACTTAAAAAATTATAATTTGCCTAAAGTTTACTAAACTAGTAAACTAAATCCATTTTTCCAAGTTTTAACATTAATAATATAAGAAACCTTAATTATCTAGAAAGAATACATCTTTATAACCTTGATCAATTAATTACCCTAACAGAAAAGCACAAAGTTGCAATCAAAGCAAAGATAGCTTAATTTTGTTAGAATAAATTTGGAATGTATGAAATAACTTCCAGTGTACAAAGGAAGCAGGATGATAAGAAATGACAGAATACCTTTCCGTTCAGCCCCTCCTTTTGCATCAAAATCTCTTGCTGCAAAATATATTCACAAAATTCAAATCACTATAAGGAAAAAGGGGAGAAAAAAACTTGACACCAGATAATGACTTAATATAATGCAGCTGAAAGCTGTGTAGAATGAAGAAAACATTATAACAAAACCTTCAAATCTTGAGGAATTTTTTCTGAAAGTGCTTGAACTCGAAGATACAAAGGGTGCAGGGCAAACACAGAAAGAGAACTGCAGAACGAAGAATTTAAAAGTCATATTTAAAGGAAAGGAAATAAAAAAGGGTGCATTTACATACATACCACACAATTCTTATGTATTTACATATATGACATTCATACATTCATATTTATATGTATGCCACTTAATTCTTTAACATCAGATCAAAAATATGACATCACCCTCATTTTCAAAGTGAAATACACCTTTTAATGCATGGGTTTATCATACCAAGCTGTCATAACTGTAAATATCAAAGTTTGGGCGTTAGAAATGTAAATACATAGGAATTGTGTGGTATGTGCGTAAAATTCCCAAAAAAAAGGATTCCAATATTATAATACAAAAGATTACTAATTCTGCCCCATAAATTTTAAAAAGAAAGACTACCTGTAGGGATATGAATCCCACCACATTCCATGAACTGAAGTATCATTTATAGGCAATAATTGAACTAAATGAAAGCCTGTTTCCACTGCCCAATCAACAAGTAGTTTTAGATCAAGAAATTCCCCGACGCCGAGGTCATCGATGCTCCTAATAGAAAACATGGGTATCGCAACACCAGCACCCCTCCAAGGAATTCTCTGCCAAAACCAAACCTCTAAAGAGTGAAACAGAAATTTATGAATGTTCCATTTACATAAATACCAGCCAATTCCTATGCATTTACATATCTAACAACTTTTTATATTTATACCACCCAAATCATTCATATGACATAAAATATACACTATTTTAACGTTTCAGGAGTGAATACACCTTTTTCATGCATATGTATGCTGGTGTATATATATATATATGTAAGAATTAAAGTATTGGGTGTTAGATATGTAAATACATAGGAATTGAATGGTATGTAAGTAAATATTCCTTTATGAATTTACCCTAAAGGATCCATCAGACAGAAGAACATATTTTGGAATCGAGTTTGATGTCGTGTCAAGCGCTAATTCCCTGTAAGGACCAATTTCCAAAGAAGCATCTTGCTGCTTGCAACTGTGATAATACTTGTATGTGGGATTTTATTAAGGACTAAACAAGTATTTTGAATGATAACAGTACAAAAATAAAAAATGTTATGTAAAGCAAGCTATTCAAACAATATGGAAGGATATTTTATTGGGAAATCAACTTTTCTTACAACTGAATGGGATTCCCAAATAGAATCTCCAATATAGTTAAGCCTCAATCCATCTTCAACCCTCCATTGCCCTAATTGAGGTACACTACCTGTGACATAAACCTGCAAAAGTTCATAACTAAAACTCTGAATATTCAGCCATAAATTTAGGTAAATAAAGGGATGATAAAGAAAATGTGAGATTTGTACAGATGTTCCTTCTTCTATAGATGTTCCTTCTTCTATAGTTGGGCAGCTAATCTTGAACACAACAACAATGGAATCTGCATGAGGAAAAGAAAAAGGATTATATAAAATGACATAAAAATGGAATCTTTTTGGGTGAAGTTGGCTTCTTAAGGGTTCATGTAAGACATACCTTCATGATTGTCTTTTGTCTGATTGGTTCGCAAGGGTGGTTCTGGTTCGAAGTTTAGGCCGCCACCAAATATAACAGTTTTGAAGGCGCTTCTCAAGAAAAGAGCTTCTGAAGCTGTCTGATAATAGCTTATGCATAAGAAAGAAACAGTTTTACATAAAAAGATTAAAGGGAAATTTACATATGTTGTATGTCTCACAGCAAACTTCAATATTTCCACACATAGCGCTTTGGTATTTTAAACCTATGCATGAAAACGTGTAATAGAGCTATTTTTTATGTGTGATTAAATATTTGAGTGCTATGTATATAAATATGAAAGTTTAGGAGTGAGATAAGTAAGTACATATAAATTGTGTGCTATGTATATAAATGCCCCAAAATTAAATTAGCTCGCAAATCTTCACCTTCCAAAGATCATGAATTTCCACCACTTCTCCCTCCTTAATTCCTTCGGGCAATGAAAAATTCCGTTTTTTCCCAGCTTCCCACCTCAAAATATTTCTATTGTCATCAACCAAATAATAGCTGTATTCACACCGAAATCCAATTGGCACAGAAATTCTTCCATGCCAAATAAGTTCCTCTCCTTGATGAAATGGAACCAAACCCAAGCCAAGTTTTACATTCCCTCCCCCAAGCGCTGGTTCTGAGCCAGAAATCAGCAGGCTTTGTCCCCATTGCGTATAGTAAGGAATTCTAAAAATTAAGATGACTGAACTTAAGGGAGACTTCTTTGGTCCCAAATTTACCATTTCTTCTCAAATTCTCCCAATTGTATCAAACCTACTTACAAAATACAAAAAAATAATGAGTTCACAACTTGAAACAATCTGTTTAATCAAATTGTCAGCACATAAGCAGCGCATTAGACAGAAAACAAAGCTGAAACTCGAACCAAAGTTAATCTAGCGAAGTTCTAGAAAATAAACCAGAATCTGTTCTACAATCATATCGTTAAACAATCAAACAACTTTCAGAAATGATATACAGCATCAGAAATTACTGGAACCTAGAGCAAAACATTCAAAACCATTAAAAAAAAAAAACAGATGAATTCAAAAAACTGGATAGAAAACACCAATGCAGAGTAATAGAGAAACAGCACAAATCAAAGATTAAGCTCCAACAATATCAATCAGAAATGTCATAAGAAATAAGCCACACTAATCACTAATCAGTAGCAAAATCTCACCACTTCCCACCAATACAGAAAACCGAAACTTACAAATAACTTCCAGCGAGGAAACCAGAGCATTGAGGTTAGGGTTACTAGGCTGAAACCCTAGAAAAATCTGATAGATTGAGGGCTTCGATTGAATCACATGATGCTGTGGACATTAGACTGAGAAGAAAAGATTGGATTTTTTTTTTTTCTTTATCGAAATCTTTGGAATCATGTGAATATATTTTGAAAAAGGTGCCTAAAAAAAGAGGAAATTTACTTTGTAGCCTCACGTGGGGATAAATTAAGATAAGCAATCTTGTTGTTTAGGGAATTGGAGACCACCAGTGTCTGTCAGCCATGTGGGACTATTTTATTAGGGTTGTGATTCTCTCAATTAATTTAGCTCTTGAAAATTGATTTGAGTTTTGGCTCAAGTTCAGATCAATTTTAAACCAGTGAACTATGAGTTAAAGTTTTTTATCATTTTTTTTTTTTTTACATAACTTCAAGTGGATCCCAATTCAACTTAAAATCAAGTCGTTAACAGATTTTAATGATGTTAAAACTATTAGTGAATTTAGCTTGAAGATTGTTAATCGTTCGAAATTGATTCAAATTTTTGTTTAGAAGGAGAACGGATTGAAATAAACGAGTCAGGCTACGAGTTAAAATTCTGGATCAAATTTTTTTCGAGCCGACCACAACTCGGCTCGAAGTTGGATTGTTAACAACCTAATTTTATTTATCTTCAAAATTTATGAATGAGATGATGATCTGGTGGTTGGACATTTCCTCTAGCATCTAAAGATCTTGTACTGAAACTCACCAACCAAAAAATATAATTTAGTGATAATGATTTATGTTATCAAAATGTATAGTTGTTAAATTGATATTCATTATAGAGACTAATATTTACATGAAATGCATTTGATCAAAAATAATTATATTAAATTAAAATTTTTAAAAATTTAATTCATGATAGTTCATTGACCTAAAACAATCTTATTTATTGCTATCATTGTTATTAGCCATTGTCGCCTCCCAACCTTTGTTGGTCATCGTCATCATCCATTCTACATTGATTTCATCTTATTTCAACCATTCACGAAAAAAAATATATATTTGCATTTATTTAACACCTAAAAAAATTCTAAATATTTTCACATAGACAATATTTCAATTTTACTATGTTTAAATTGTACTACATTATCTTTTTAAGTAAATCAATTGAATGTATAGCTTCCATAGTAGACCTGCCTGACATAAATCCAAATTAATTATGAGAAATTTTTGTAATATGTCTTAAGTTATGTTCAATTACCTTTTCCCATAAATTAAAAATATGACACATCAATTTATTTCCTCTATAATTTGCACACTATTGTGCATCCCCTTTATTCTTAAATATGGAGACCAAAATACTCTTCCTGCACTCTTCAGACTTCTTTTTAGTTTTTAAAAGAAAAGTGAAGAGTTTAGTAGGCGAAGAAACTCCCAAATCTTGTACATATTTTCACACTTCAATTGAGATATCATCAGGTTCTACAGACTTTTCACTCTCGGTTTTCTTTAAAGCTTCCTCAATTTTTTCTTTTACTAATGTGACGGTTAAAATGAAATATTTTATTATAATTAACGATATTAAGATCACTAAGGTCAATCGTATTTTCAAAAACTTCATTAAAAAATATATCAAAATAACTCACTCACATATGTTGAATATCTTATTCTAAGAAAAACACTTTCTTGTTTTCATTTTTATACAATTTACTTTAGTTAAATTTTTATTTTTTTTGCTTTGTTTGACTAGTTTATACATATATGTTTCACTCTCTTTAGTATCTAATTTATTATAAATATCACGAAAAGCAGAATTTTTAGCGTCACAGATTATTCTCTTAGACCCGGTCTCCCTACAGACCATATTATAATTTTTTTTTCAGTTCTCTAAGTTTTTATAATTAAACTTATTTTTTTAACATTACTTCTTATATTTTATATTTTATTGCACATTATTATTCCACCATCAAGTTTTTTTATTTATATAAACTTTTTTTTTTATCCACCACCAACATCTTTTGTCATGTGTTTAATAGTGTTTGTTACTTTATCCCACATAAAATTTGCTTCTTTATAAACATCGCTAATGTTGAAACCTTAAAGTTTATTTATAAAAATAGTTCTATTTGTGTCCTTTATGTGTCGTCATGACAACGATTCCTAATATTCTTTATTTTACATTTTTTTCATCTTAAAATCTAAACTAATAATTGATGTTGAGTACTTAAATCCTATATATATATATTAAATTTTATCAAATTTATTCTTATAAGTAATAATATGCTCTTCTCTTTCTTTGAATAAAGTAATCAATAATAAATGCTAAATCAAAATCTAATATGACTCTATCATATTCATTAATCACTTCAAAATCGTAGCCATCATGAATATTTCTAAAATCTTCTACCACTCCACTGACATATTCCTTTAAATCTCCTCTAATAAAAAACATACCTTCAAGAGGTATACTTTGGATTGAGACTTCTAGATCATTCCATTTATATCCTCGTTACTCACATAAAAATAATTTCAAATAAGAGGGTTGAAGAATTGAAGAAACTCTAGCCCACCATTTAATGATTGACGTTACTATTAACATTTGTCATCACTCAATCATCGTTGTTCAATCATCAAAGCTCAGCTAAAATCACAGGATCATTATCTTATTATCATTGTTATATTGCTTGATTCATGACCCTTAAATAAAATGTCTTAGACTGTTTCACCGCGTCATCATTCACCGACATTCATCTACATATCAACAAAATAATTAGTTGCTCCAAAATCTCATAAATATTTTAGTAGATTATAATATACTAACAAAAACTCAAAACTAAAAATTAAGCAAAACTCAACACTTGGGGGCCTGATTCTTATTTATTATGAGCGACATAATTATGCGTTATAAGTTGAATTAAAAGTTAATGACAATTAAACAATGTTTAACTAGAAATATGATCCACAATTTTCAGTAATTAATTGTTAATTAAATAGAAAACATATTTTAAGATGACAAATCAAAAATAGATAAAATCTGCGTTTGCCGGGAGTCGAACCCGGGTCTATTGCTTGGAAGGCAATTATCCTAACCGTTGGACTACAAACGCTTCTGTGCATTCTTTGATTTATAAAAATTTTTATATTTAAAAGAAGTTATTCACACAAATTTAAAAACATCTTTGTTTTCTACTTATAAATTTAAATATGATTAAAATAAAGTTTATAACTATCAATTTTTTTTTAAAAAAAATAAGTGCAACTATAAGCCTCAGAAACTGAAAAATGGATAACTAGCAAAAAATAAAAAAAATTAAATTTCTTACAAAAAAAAAAGAGTTAAATATTATGACACTGATACTGAAAGGTCTGCGGCGCTTAAGTAATAATTTAGCGTCATAGCGTTGAATAAGAATCCAACATACACATATGAAAGAAAAAGTAAGCCGGAGGAAACGTCGTGATTTTTATGTGGAAAATCCTAGAAAGAGAAAGAAGCTACATGATCTGGCCTAGTTGAAATAATACATTATGTAATTGTGAGTACACATGTATGTTGTAATTTGTCACATATGTTGTAGTTGTAAGTTGTGATAACATCTGTAAGCTACAAAGAATAGAGTCAGAAGCTGCACGAGTTGTAAGCCATGTAGTTTTACGTAGGTCATAGTGGTGAGTTATGATAACATTCGTTGGTCATATGGGCCAGTGTTGGGAGCTACTAAAGTTGTGAGCCACATAAGTCGTAGTTGGTCATGTAAACTAGTGGTGAGTTTTGAAGACATCCGTAGGTCGTAGTTGGCCACGTAGGCTAATAGTGAGTTATAATAACATTCGTTGGTCTTAGGGGTCGGTGTCGGGAGCTACACGAGCTGTGAATCACATAGGTCGTAGTTTGTTACATAGGATAGTGGTGAGTTGTGATGACATTCGTATGTCATAGTTGGCCACGTAGGTTTGTGGTGAGTTGCGATAACATCCGTAAGTTGTAGAGGCCAAACCGAGAGCTGCATGAGTTGTGAACCAAGTATGTTGTAGGTGGTCGTGTACGTCACATTGGTAAGTTGCAATGAAGTCCATAGGCTACCAGGGCTGGAGTTGAGGAGCTATAATAATTTATGTAGGCTATAGAGGTTGGAGTTGTGAGCTACATGAATTGTGAGCCATGTAGATCATAGCATGAGTTACGATATTATCCGTAGACTACAAGGGCCAAAGTCAGAAGCTACATGAGCAATGGATAACATTCATAGGACACATATTCTATAGTTGGAAGTTGCATGAACTAAGGTAACATCCACGAGCCATAGTGGCCGGAGTTGAGAGTTGCATGAGCCAAGATAGCTTCCATAGGCCGCAAAGGCTAGAGTTGGTAATTGGGAGCAGCATAAACTGTTATAGAGACCAGAGTAGAGAGTTGCAGAAGTTGTGATAACGTTTGTAGGTTGCAAAAGCTATAGAGTCAGGTGTTGCGCAAGCAGTGGAGCACATAGTCTGTCATGGTGATATGCAATGAGAGAATTTCAGAAGTTCGAAGAAGGTCACCATATTCTAAGTATGACATTGGTAAGTCATTATCGTGGGGTGAGTCGTTGCACCATATTCGACGTGCATTGTTACACAGTGTTCAAGGTATGTCATTACATCGTCTCTAAAATATGTTATTGCACCGTATGTGGGGCGCGTCATTGCAATATACGTGAGGCGCGCTGTTGCACCATATTCGAAGTGTGTTGTCATGCCATCTTCGGAGGGCATTGTTGTTTGTTATATTGGATGACGTCCTGCTCCGTTGGGTGCTTCACTGTTCCAAAACATACGTTGGGAATCCGCAACACACGTTGTAACTCCACGAGAGACTTCGTTGCAAGGAGCACGTGGTAGTGGAAAGTGGTCGATGGCGCCTAGCCAACAGTGGTCAACTGTGGTCAGCGATTACAAGAGGAGGAATCGTTCACCAGATCATTGATGGAGAAATGACGCTGTGCTTTAGCTCCCTGTCTTGGCCCTTCTTTAGGCTTAGGTCTCGGTCCAGGTCCTCTCTCAATGAAGGAGTATGGCTCTATTTAAAAAATATGTGAGATATCTTTGTCCTGGAGATGTTTTCTCTATTGGATGACATTCTACGAACATTTGAGTACCTTAATGATTGCAAAATTGAGTAATCTCAACTCATTAGTTCACCTTGTTGAGACAATCAATTTTTATATAAGTTTGTCATATTTAAAATCTATTTGACATTCTAATTGGACATCAAAAGCTATATGATTTAACGTAATTTAATAATTTGACTCATATTTTGAATATTCAAACATAATTTAATGTTTACAACACTGATTCGAACATGATTTAACGTAATTTAATAATTAATTAAATTATGATTTAACGATTTGTTCTAAGCTTTATTTGACTCAGACTGGATTGATGTTAGTGTCATTGTGTTCATCCCATAAAGCCAATCAATCTAAGTGTAAGTTTACTGAAGTCAAAGTTATGAATAATTTTAATTAAACGTTAAACATTCCTTTCTCAAAAAATTACTTCAAAATTCATGTCATGTCAGGTGACCAAATATTATTGACGGCGCATCAAAATGCCCACAAAGTTCAAATTTGGTTCAAGTTTTATTTGTACTTTTAAGCAAGATACCAAAATATTAACAAAATAATAAAAATTTCAACAATATTTAAACATCATTTGAACATAATTTGGCTATTGTTCAAAAAAGAAAAGAAGATTTGATAAGGTTTAAACATGATTGAAATCAAATTTGAATAATGTTTGAAGCTGATTTAAACATGATTAGAATAAAATTCAAATAGAATTAAATAGGGTTCAAATGAAAACTTAAATATTATTTGAAATTAATAATGTTCGAATAAAAATTTAATTAATATTCAAACATAATTTAATAAAGTTTAATCATTGATGGAATAAGATTCAAGTAAGATATAAACAAAAATATTTAACACATCGTTCAAATATGATTTAAGCATGTTTCGAATTATATTATTTGCCATAAACCATCTTCTTAAATATGCTTAATTCAAAGGAAAATTTACATAGGTACCACACAATACTTATCTATTTACATATCTACCATTTAAATTTTGATATTTAGGTTTACAACACTGGTGTTATGAGTCTATTGTCACGGACAAAAAAATCCCACATCGACTAAGTGTAACACAGAAAAGCAGTATTTAAGTCCTGGGCTGCCCACCACCCCGAAGAGCTCTTTTGGGAGGTGACAAGTGATATCAGAGCATATTACTGTCTGCTAGGTTTGTGGACTTTCCATGATCCAGTGAGACTATCAGTGGAGCCAATTCGTGACGAGGGTGTCACGTGATTGGGTGGAGGAGAATGTCACGGACAAAAAGTCCCACATCGGTTACGTGTAGGGCCGAAAAGCAGTATTTAAGTCCCGGGCTACCCACCACCCCGAAGAGCTCTTTTGGGAGGTGACACTATGCATCAAGAAGATGTAGGATTTTTGATGTGATGGCAAAGATTTGGGAGTCATGCATGCAAATATGAAACTTTCGGTGTTAAATATGCAAAGACATAAGAATTGAGTGGTATATAAGTAAATATTTACTCCTATTTAAAATTTCCATATGTATACCAGTCATAGGAATGGTCCACAAGACAAAAACTTATATTTACAATAAACTTTTTTAAAGTTTACAATCAAACAAAAGGCCAAAGCCAAAAACTTTTCATAACAACAATTTTTCACATAAGACCTCTAAGAACAATAAGTCTTACAACAAACCCCCTGGGAGGAAAAACACTTGGAAGTCCATGTCTACACTCCTCTTGGCGTAACAGCTCCCAACTGCTTCCATGTTCTTAAAAAAAAGGAAGGGCAAAGATTTCTGGGAGATGTTAAAAACTTGGGAGGAGAAACAGTGAAGAAAAGCATAATCAAACAGATTCCCCTCACTCTGCTTTGTCAGTATGATACAGCAGGAGAAAGCTAAAAGGGAAATATTTCTTATCTGATTATTTTGATCTATTTTTGAGAAAAAATAGATATTCAGATCTTGCTTCTTTTGATGAAGAAAATGTTGGGGCAACACCCATCTAATGTGGCCCTGAAGTCATTGTCAGATGCAGGATGAAGCCTTATCTGCATGTAATGATGAAACAAATAATTGGCATAAGAGCAAATATTTTAGAATTTCAGATAACCAAATACTTTTCCATTAGTTTAGTTCCATATGAAGTGACTTTGATGTAAGAAGTACAAATAATCAACTAGAACGAAAGTAAACCTCTTGGGTTTGGTTCAACATTTATATAAGGGATAATTACATAAAGACTGCCCGAAACATTGATATTTATAAATTAACCACCCAGGTGATTTTTTTGAACTATAAAACTAATGTATTTAAGTGCGTCACGATCAACCTATTGAGAAATTGATGAAAATGAAAAATATGAGTTTGATCGTGACTTGATTTTCAGTTGCATCCTATCAAATTTTGATATTTGAGTGAGAATTTGAAAAATAGATGAAAAGAGGGAGTGTGATTTGTAAATAACAAGTTTTGGGTGATCTGTACGTAATTGCCTATTAAATAAAACTCCGACCTTGTGTTAAACTCCAATATAATCCCCGATTGTATGTGGCCACTTTAGTCAATTGAGTATCACATTTCTCCTATTTAGTCCCTTGACTTTATAAAAGTGATTCAAAATGATCCCATGGGTATTAATTGGGATAAATTTTGTATAGTTAAGACGCTACATTGAGATCAATATTTTGCATCATGGACCATTTTAGATCAATTCTCCATTTTAAAGGCTCCTCCAAAGACGACATCCCCTCAAATTTATGAATCATCACAATTTTTTTAGGGATATTTACATACATAGTACACAATTCTTATGTACATACGTATGACACACTAATCTTTCATATTTACTTACACAACACTTCAGTGCTTTAAACTTATGAATGAAAATGTGCATTTCACTTTTATAATAATGCTATTATTGATGTGATTTAAAAGATTTGAGTGTGGTGTGTAAATATGAAAGTCTAGATGTGAAATATGAAAATGCAAGTATCGTGTGCTATGTATGTAAATGCCCTTTTTTTTAATAACATCAAGCCAAAAAGTATTTTGCCTTCCAAATTCATACTCTTTCCCATATAAAAACCCAAATTCTTTTATCATCCTCAAAATAGATAATGGCCATTTTGTACGTCCATGAACTTGTCACCACATGCTCAAACCAAAAAAACTTTAGATTCTTTATTTATAAAAGCACAAAAAGATGAATTTTGAATCTAAATCTATTTTAAATTTTAACTTCAATGCTGTCCAAAAAATAAATTTTTGCTGCAAACTTTTAAACTTGATTTTATCCTTCTAATCCTAAAATCAATTATCTCAAACTCTGTGCATATCTCAACAAAATTGCTAATTACAATTTATTAAAAAAATCTCTCAACTGTTCAATGTACAAAAACATGAATCTCCTATGCGGCTCCTCCAAATTGAGCTACTCAAGTTCTTAATTCCCATAAGATATGCACTGCACTAGCTAAAGAAGTCCCAAACAACGCTTGAACGTAAAGCCCGCTAAAGATACGCAAAGTACATTCATTACACATGTTGACTCAATAAGGTGATTAAATCTTTACATCATTTAGTGACTAATCTCCTAATTGAGCTCTCAACCTCCAAAAGACTAAACATAGTGCAACCTCAACAAGGCCAAATGACAATGTAATTAACACATAAGAGTTCCCTAAGGCATGTCTACTGCACACCATAAGAGATCCATCGCTATCAAAAGTGCACCTATGATTAAGGGTGTAAGTGTCAGGAGCCAGCTCAAAATCAACTTCCTAACTAGCTCACAAGTGAAGCTTATCAAGCCATGAGTTAAAGCTCAAGTTCATATATTATACAAGCAGGAGTTTAAGCTTGGCCTAGCTCGACTAGTTGGTATATTGAGCCGCCTGATAAACATTCAATTGACACTATCCGAAATCAACATATCGATTCATTGATTCTCATCTTGATTCCACATTTAAAAATCCACTCACGTCGCTTCATGAGTCGAGAATCACAATTTACGCTAATGTGGTAAGTAATCCCATGAATTGCCCGAAGGCCATCACCCAAACTTTTCTTTTTCAAAACCTAACTTATGTTCTCGTGCATTGTTGTCATTGTTTCCTTCTCCAACAAGGTGCCATTGCAAAGGCTTCTCCAACTGGATAACACCCCATCAACACTTCTCCATCGAGCTCATGTCCTTTCATCCATACCTTTCTAGTGATATCCCATCACAAAGTAGTTTTCAACGTCCTCTTCGGCGAGCAAGTATTGCATTGCCATTTCCTTTAAACTACCAACCCATCAATGGATTTTACAACAAGCTACCGAGTCGAGCTTGAGCCTACAAATATTCTGGCGAGCCAGATTTGACCTTAAACACAAGCTCGGCACAAACTCAAATTAGGTGTGACTTGAGCTTGATTCGACTTGTTTATACCCATACTTGTGATTAAAATTTCCTATATTCTAAATATTTTTTTTCTCTATGACGCTAAAGCAAACCACGCACTATGTGAGCAACCCAATAGATCATCTTCTCTCCTCCACTTATACCCTTCTTTGTTCCACAACATGATCTACAACAAAAAATTAACCTTCTTATGTTACTAAAACCAAGATTCTCCAAAGTAAATAAACTTGAAGTAGCTCCACTTAAGATTGTACCCTACACACAAGGTCTGATCAACTCTTTTCAGCTTCATGGCAACCAACACTTCCTTGCAATCTTTAAGGGAGTCAGCATCTTGGCATCAAATTCTCTCAAAGATCAACATGTCGCTATACTTACCGCACCACACATCAGTATGTTGATAGCACAAAAATTAAAATTTTGCAAACCTTACATTTCTCATATAAACATAATAATTAGCACGACTTACAATCAAACATTTTTTTAATACAAATATGGTATGAACAAACTATGCTAATAATCTATTAATTATTGCATCCATCTCTACCAGTTACCATAAAAGCATCACTTAAATTTGCACCGATTACAATCTAAAATAACATTTGTCAGTTTATTTAAAAATAGATTAAAAAGGTGAGTGCTTTTGCGATAGGATTGTAAACCAGTTATTCATCAGCTTGATAAGGAACGTTGAAAAGAATGCGCCGCATTAAAGGGGTTGACAATCGACTTCGGGTAGTCTAGGCTTTAAATATAGTTGTATACTGTACATCTGAGAACTTATCATGTCTGAATGTGTTTTTTTGCCAGGAGTGTAAACTGTATATATTCTTTACACTGACTACTTTTCTTTTCTTAAAAAAGACCAGTATATATTAAAATTCACCTACTACTTTCAATCAATAATAGAAGAATCAAAATTTTCTGCCTTTTTTTTTTCCACATGATGAATAAATTCTATCCAGCATTTGGAACTAACTTTAGCCACCTCAATACAAGTGAAGCTTAAAAATGAAAGAAAATGACATAATGAGGTAGATAACAAACCTCATAATCACTAAGCAATGATGCAAATAATGCTGCAATTTCGAGAATTGCAAACTTCTGCCCAACACAAGATCTTGAACCACAGCCAAAAGAAAGAAATGACCCATCTATTTGGTGCTCACTTGTAATTTCTTTCGGAACATCATGCTTGTCTAATGTACCATCTATATAAACAAAAATATCAAGATATTAGAGCATTTCAAACCAAACAAGACTTTGCAAAAGTGAGTTAGAAACAAGTGAGTAAACACGAGCAGCATTTACATGCATACAAGTCAATTCTTATGTATTTACAATTCTAACATCTAAACCTTGCTTTTTTACATTTATGCCACATATCACAAGAAAAATACCACCATTTTAACTTTTAAAAAAGTACAATACACCTTTTTATGCATAGGTAAGCTGCCATATACGTAAAAATCGACGTGTAGGTGTTAGATATGTAAATAACTAGGAATTAAGCATTATGTATGTAAATCTTCCTAAATATAATAATCAAAGCTCCTGATTGATATGACTATTAGCATCTGATTCATTGGGCTTATTTATAGGAATAAACTTTTTTTTTTAAGAAAAGCTTCTTAATAAATTTTACAATGCTTAGGCGCATAACATTGAGGACAAACTCCTAAATTATTCATGATCTTCATCATAAAAAATTCTCCTTCTAATTGCGTTCTTATTTTTAACCATGATTTTCTCAATTGTAGATCGCAAGCATCAAAACCAAAAGACAACTCCAGGAAAAAAAAAGAAACTATATATTATATAAATAATAAATTTATTTTTTCTCAAATTTGCAGTTAAACTTCATTCAAACGGTTGGAGTTGAATGTGAACTGTACAAGAGCTCAATAGAATTCTCGTGAACAATAAGTAGCAGAAAATCAGATTCACCGCCATGAAAAAAAAAATTAAGATTTACATGCATACCACTCAACTGCCATGTATTTACATATCTAACACCTAAACTTCAATTTTTACATACATAGCACCTTACCTATGCATGAAAACGTGTATTTAACTTTTAAAAGTCAAAATTATGATATTTTATGCGATATGAAAGATTTGGGTGGTATAAATGTAGAAGGTAAATTTTTGGTGTTTGATATGTAAATACATAAAATGGAGTAGTATGTATGTAAATACCCCAAAATTAAAAAGTTATACATTTCCACATGAGAGGGAACAAAAACCCCAAGTCTCAACGTTCATAATAATAAGCAATTAATTAAGATTACCTTTATTTGAGCAAGTCTTTGGTAAGAAATGCCGAGGATTAAACTGGTCTGCATCTTTCCCCCATATTGAATAATCAATATGAACTAGTGGCAGAGGAACTACAAGAATTGTTCCTGCTGGAACAGTTATACTGGATTTAAGTCTCAAATCTGTAAAATTAAAGAACATAAGAGGTGTGAGATCAAGATAGGATAAAATCACGTGAAAAGTGCGGCACTTCTCAGTCTTGATGCCATCATTAAAAAGTATATAAATTCAGTGACTCATTTTCAATACATAGGTGTTAGTATTATAAATAAAAAATATTTTAGCAGCAAACATGTAAATCTCCCTGATTTTATCCACAATACCTTAAGTCCCATCATTTCCCATGTTGATTTGAATCTATCGATAAAGGGTAATCTCCGCACCATTCTTTGACACTTATAATATACATGCCCATGTAATTATAACATTTTCTACCTTTTATTGTACATGTCTAAAGTGATTAAGTCTATTTTCAATGTCATGTCTTTAATAGATGCTATTGCAATTATCACTCTTAACATAATAATAGAATCTTCAATATATTATTCTTAATTTAGTCATACATCCAACAATCCCTCTAATCAACAGTACATATTCAAATATTCTACAGATTAAATTTAATTACCTTATCTTCAATAGACGCTAAATCAATTGTCCTATTAATATGATAATATGATTATTCCTTTCTCCTTTTCTTTTTATATCTGCCAAACATTAATCTTAATATTCTCATTTTCATCAGGCTCAACCCAACTATAAGTTCAACTTGGCTAGCAACAACTTTTCTAACGTCAACACTTGGATCCAAACGACAAAAGTAGTCTAGTTTTAAAAACAATCATAATATCCTTGAATTGTATTGTATTCCCAAGGTATTTCTAAGTTATTAGCCACTAAATGTAAACTTTAAGGGGCCATCTGGTAGCAGCATTAGTAAATTATGTAAATCCGGATTTACTACATCATGCCAACACCAGAATTCAATAAATCCAGAAATTAAAACAAAACTGAAAGGAATTGAGAAGAAACCAGATTTACGAAATCCAATATTTAAAATTTGCCATTTTTTCTACATGACAGATTTAAGTTGAATCCCACTTAAATCCATTACCCAACAGCCTCTAAAAGTTGAATCCCCATCTATAAGCACTCTTCCGCATAATAAATCAAAGATACCTAAAACCATCACTCCAGAGCGTCATTTTTTCTTATAATAATACTATAATATAATTGTTATATAACATCCACTAAAATTGTATAGCTGCACTAAATCTAAACTCTATGCTTCATCCATAAAAGCATTATAATCAAACTCACTATGCAATATTATTTGTATACATGTTCATAAACAACAAGAAAAACATAACCACAGTATTGATGACTAATATCATCCTATTACAATAAGAAACCAGTTGATCGCTCAATGATTATTTCTAACACTAATCAATGCTTCATAATTTATATGTTTAATAACTTCAACACATCTTCCTTTTGATTATTAAAGAATAACAATTCACTAATAAATCACATGACTTCAAATAAAATAAATAGCACTATACTGTTTTATCTTTCAAATGATTCCCTTCTTTTTATTACACAATTGTTCCACATGAACATGATCCCACACGTTAGATTCTATTACACATTTGTTCAACGTCACAACGCTCCCAGGCATTAGCAATTCCATTTAGGTTGCATTAATAATTGTCGAATTCCGAACTTCTATAAGTAATAATTCCTATACCAGGAAACCAAAAGCCTTCATTAAGTTTTTCTGGACTTTTGAAATATACTCGAATGTCATTTTTGGCACAAGCAAATTACCCGAATAAAAAAGTATCCCCACTCTCATTCTACACCTCCGGTATTACAACATTTTTGTCTCTTCTAAAATGTTTTTGAGCTTTGGAGCATAACTAACACATTTTGAAGCACTTGGTAAATTATTAGCAAGAAAATAAAAAACTACACTAAGCAATACCTTAGTTGCATCCCCACATGGACTTTTTCGCTTCCTACTACAGATAAAAAACTTCGAAATGTAGTAGAGCTAAAACTTGTTCTGGCAGGTAGTTTCAAGGAGAGGATTTGAAAAATAAAGATCATTTTCTAAAGGCAATTTGAGAGAAAGTTCAGATTTGTCATAAGTCAAGCATACTAACGGTGGTTTGGTATCCACACCGAGGCTTTGTTTGGTGGACAAAGTTTGCTAGGCTGAAAAATTTTATGAAAATAAGACAATAAAAGAGTTCAGCAGAATTGTGGCAATCAAGAAGGGGTATGACTACTATTTTAAGATGACTTAAGGATTAATGCAAAATTAAAATGAAAGCAAAGCAGCAACTGATAGATCAAAATTTTAAGGTATCAACTTTTAGTTTAAACAAAAATCAATCTCATCTGAAGAAAAATAAGAAACACGTTTATAACTCTAAATGATAATAAAAAAGCAGCCAATATCTGAAACTCTACAAAAAAATTTAAGAATGAATATAAAGTTCTACAGCAATTAAAAAGCTCATCATAAAAATGGAAACTGCTATGAAGCAAACTCTACAAAATCTCAAAGATGCACACAAATCAATAAGAAAACGTAGATGAAAAAACGAAGGATAAAAGTCAGCCATTGAGTATCCAAATCTCATGTCAGTACGAGGAGAAGCATCCCCCATTATCGTCAAAACTTGCAAAGTACTCGATGAATCTACATCTATAGCACATAATAAGTATTTAAATTCAAAACACAGTATTATTCAAATATTCATTCAAAATATTTTATAGGGCAGAATATGGCAAAAAGCCCTAGAATGCAATGGGAGGCATTTAGCATGACAAAATTATAACATGCTTCACAATCTAAGGCGTCACCTTGGGGGCTCAAAGCTCACCTTTTTCTCCTCGTTGGTGGGGCGAGGCCCCAATGATATTCCCTATATTATATTATTAAATTACTAAAAGCCTCTCTCTCTCTCTCTCTCTCTCTCTCTCTCTCTCTCTCTCTCTCTCTCTCTCTTATATAGTGTGTGTGTATGTGTGTGGGCGCGCACGCGCGTGTCTAGTAACTAAAATGAATGAAAATACTTTTTATCTTTTAACTCTTAACAAGTTATATAAAATGATTCCTCTCCTACAAGCTCATAAAACATTGAAGTCCTATGCTTGACTCACCATCGCCTATCTTGCATGGTGTTTGTCCCCAAATCTCCAAACATTTTGCCAGAGTCCCTTGTTTTTTTTAATTATCATGTCAACCCTTGTCTCATCTTCGTCAAAAAACTATGCTAAGTAGACTCTCATTGACACGGGGTTCATAGGGGACCGGCTGAGCGTAGGCCCAGTCCAGTTAGACCGGCTGGTTCTCTTGGAAGGGGGCCCCACCGCCCCCTCCTTTCTCCTCTTTCCTTTCCTTTTCTTTATTCCTCTTCCTATTTTCCTATCTAGGTCATTTCCTAATTTAAATCCTTTCCTAAAAGCCTATATCCTGATTTTATTCACCTTCCCTAATTTAAAACTTCATAAAATCTGAGATCTTGATTTTATTTATATTCTCATTTCTTAATTTAAATATTTCCTAAATCAGGGTCAAGTCATTTATAAATAGGAATTGAAGTGTCTAATGTTAGGGGTCTTGATTTTGAAATCTAAAATCGAGGTGGTGTTTATCTTCACTGTTCCGACCACTACCCGCTGTCCCACTGTTTGCCGATGCTCCAGCCAACCTCTAGCACATTCGGCCACCTCCCTGCCAACCTGTAGCCTCCCAATTCTCCTTGATGCTCCTCCCAAATTGCAAACCAGTTGCCCTGCTGCCTCTCTACAGATAAAGCAGCCACCTACTGCCCTCCCAAACCGGCATCGATCACCCTGCAGCTTCCCTGCAGGCCGTTCACAGCCCACCTACTGCCCTTCCAGCCGCCTTCACTGTAGCCACGTGCAGCTTGCAGCTCACTGCAGCCTTCCAGCATCACCACGGGCAGCTCCCCTGCCCCTCCCACCTCCTGTCGCCTCACACCCAGCCCTCCTCCAGGCCTTCCCAGCGCCTATCATCACTGCAGCCCTCTCACCCACAGTCCTCACCCCCTGTCGTCTCCCTCACAGCAGGCCGCAGCCACCCGCAGGTCGTTCCCAGCGCCTTCCCTGCCCTCGCAGGCATTGTCACCACCTTGCTCCTGCAGGCTACATCTTCCCTGCCCTCGCAAGCATCGTGTCGCCACCCGGCCCGAGCATGCTACATTTCCCCTCCCTCCTGCAGGCCGCCCGTTGCTGTCCCTTCATGTTTCCAGCCTTCGACAGCGCCTCCGACAACAGCCAGCTACGATTTGACACCTCTTGCTGTCCCACTTTCACACTGGCCTTCACCGCAACCGCCGCCCTAGCACAATCTCTCCGGGCTCCCTCCTCATCCAATGTTTTGTGCCTTTATATGTTGAGTCATTGTGATGTTTTATTTTATGTTTTGATTTACGTTGTATCTTATCATTTCCTAGGGTCATCATTGTAACAGTCTCTTTTAAGTTATTAATAAATTCATATTTTGCGTCGTGGTTTGGGTGAACTTCAGTATCATTTGGTATCAGAGCTAGCCCAACCCTAATCATATCTTTCTTTTCATTTCTTTTCCACTCTCTTCTTTGTGTTCATCAATCCTTCTTGCCCCTCTTTCTTTTTCCTTGATCTTCTTGTCTCCTTCTCATCCAAACCATCAGCTATGCCCCCTAGGAGAAACACATTGGACTCCACCCAGGATGCAATCCAATGTGAAATATGTCGTCTGCAACAAAAATTGGCAAAACTCGATGAAGGGACCTTAGGCGAAGTCACCCTCGATCGTGACCTAGAGAGTCAACAGGAAGCTAGGAAGACGACCTCAATCCGTTCCACAAAGAAGATGACAGTGACAACGAATATCGCCTACACCGTTTTGGCATCTACTATCAGAGGCGACCACGAGAAGAACCCGGAGGCCATCGAGAGTTTGGCATTAAAATAAATCTCCCCGATTTTAATGGATGTATGAATCCAAATGAATTCCTTGGTTGGTTGCAAGCAGTCGAATGAACTTTCTAAAACAAGGAGATATCTGAAGAAAAGAATGTCAAACTACCAGCTAATGGTGGGACAA